ACATGAAGTTGGCAACGACAAGCTCAAGCCCTCAGCACTCTTTTCACAAACGAATTCCTAGGAAGATTATAGTGTGCTAACCAAAGTCTACATAGTAGCTTGAGATTGCGAAAACACCTTTGAACAGAAATTCCAGGGAAAGAGATGCGCGAACGTCTCAGAATCACAGGAATCCGGCATATCAAAACGGAATCCTTCGAGAAGTCAACGCTTGAAAAGAGACGGGGCTTGGGATGTCGCACTGCAGTGGTACGCAGGGAGAAAGATGAAACACAGCGAGCATGTGAAGGAGGGGATGGGGAGGGGGAAGGGACAGCGAATTAAACAGAGAAAGCCAAATACAAAATTGATCCGGACTTACAAGGACCTGTGAGGGAATGAGAAAGTCTCCCAGTATTCCATGCTTGTCTTGCTTTTTACAAAACCCTAGGTTGTCAAAGATCGTTACATTATGAGAAAGAACGTGAGATTCTTAAAGCCAAAGCGAATCCATCTCATTTGTGTAGCAGCTTGATTCCGCCTGCAAAAGAACGCGGAAGTATTGGGTTGGCACATAAGTAATGCAACTTTTTATACAACTTTTGTCTTTGGAACGTAGCGCATTCATTCTGGCAGTATAAGGATTATGATGTAAACTGCAATTGCAGACATTTTTGCCGAATTTTGCCATTTCATGTAAGAGTTACGGTAGGTTTGAAGTAAATGGGAAAAAAGACTACGTCAGATTTTGCTTTAATTTCGCCTGTGGGGGTTATTCGACATGCTGATAACAAAAATGAGACCCGTTCTGCATGGAAAGCCCTCTTTCGTGAGGTCACGGAATGAATTCCATCGGCGACAAATGAATATGATATTCGCATTCAGAGTATTGGATTACCCTGTGCAAAGTTTCGCAGCTTTGTTATTGACAGACTGTCCTCCAGATTTGACGCATTTGACTTCTTCTACTTCTTAAAGACGTCTTATCTTATTTGCCTTTGAATTTCACTTTTGTTACTAATTCCAATGTGTCAACTTCTAGCTACATGCTGCCTATGATTCCTTTTTGATGTGCTTGATTCAGGTTTTTTACCGTTTTATGTTCACCGAAAAACCGTGAGAACTCGACTTTCAAAGGGTTTTAAAAGGTTCAAATTTTTTCAACTACGCTATCAAAAATTAGACGGTTTGCGCAGGCTTGCAGCTTACGTCACAGTCTACATGATGCCAGAGACTGAGGGTGCTATGTTAAATATGACAAAAATTATGGGAAAAGCTGCAAAACTTATGTGCCAATCAATATATTAACAATGAGTGGAGACTATGAGACTCATTCTCAAATTTCCAACCTACAATGAAGTTTCAGTTATGCTGGTCCTACTGAAGAAACAATGGCTAACGATCAATGGACAAATGAACCACTTTGGATCGCCCCCCTCGCACTTGGTTATGCAATAGTGACGGTGGGTTTTTTTATTATGATCTGATCAAGAAAGTTTGATATCAGATCGACGGGCGCGGTTCCACTGGCAGAGGTTGGAAATACCGTAGTGCATTCTATGGCGCGCTAGGCACGGTGGAGATTCAAGATCAGATAGATGGCATACAGTAAGCAAACCTCAAAATCTGCTTAATTGTAATGTTCTGTTCAGAAAAGTTATTGCCAAATATCCATTCTTGGATGATACGCGGATTACTGTCTCAGGATGGTCATACGGCGGCTACGCTTCTGCTTTGATTACCGAACGGGCGCCCTTGGGTCTCTTCAAATGCGCCATTTCAGTGGCTCCCGTGGCTAACTTCCTCTACTACCGTAACATACACCTTCAGAAGCTGTATGAATGATGAGATTACATCAAGCATTGCAGACGCTTACTATACCGAGAAACATATGGGGAATGCAGATGTCTCTATATACAACGAGAACGATATCACCAACGACGTGGAAAATTTTAGGGAGACTCGTTTATTACTCGTTCATGGCTTGCATGATGGTTAGTTGATCTGGATAAATTCGTTTTTCTACTCGCTTTTAGCCACTTCGAATATAAAAGATAGCAGCCACTTATTTCAGATAATGTTCATTTCCAACACAGTGCTCTCTTCATAGAGGCTCTACAGAATAATGGTATTGATTTCGATCTTGTGGTGAGCGGTTCCAAGAAGCCATTGATTGAAAGACCAAAGTGTTTTACAGCTTTATCCAAATCAGGATCACATGCTACATGCAGTACAAGGCCATTTTCTCCGAAAATTAACTGCATTTTTGAGCAATTGCGCCAAACGTGGTTAACAGTGCTTTGCTAATATCAGTTGTTATCAAGCAAATATCTCAAATATGAATAACAGTATACGACTAAAAAGATTTACAAAAGTTAATGAATGTTTTATGCAGAATGAAACATGATGAAATTATAGACACTGAGTTGTTTGCTTACTCATCTGATCAGCACAATGATAAGTACTTTTACAAAATTGTTTGAAAAACCAACTCAAAATTATTTTCTTCTCCTTGTACATATGATAATCTATTTGTTTAGCGGCAGTCGCTAGTAACAAACAAATACAACGTAGTCAACTGCACTTCTGTAATGTACGGTCACGACAAATTCATATTGAGTAATGACAACGTCCAAACAATAGATGTTCTGTTTTCACCATTGCCACAATAGAGCTTCTAACAAAAGAAAGTGGGCAGATTGTAAGTCCATATCAGGCAAATTGGACCGGAAGGAATTCGAATCTTGCAAACTATACTTGGGTAATTCGATAATTTTTCATCGAATGAATGAATATCGAATAAATTCAGAAAGAAAAAATTTCGAATAAACGAATATTGAATAATTCGAAAATAAAAAATCTCGAATAAACGAATATCGAATAAATTCGGAAAACCAAAAAATATCGAATGAATGAATTTCGAATAAATTCGGAAAATCAAAAATATGGAATGAATGAATTTCGAATAAATTCGGAAAATCAAAAATATCAAATGAATGAATATCGAATATATTCGAACATTGGAAGTCGAATTTCGAATCAATATTCGAATGATTTATCGAATAACTAAAGCAATCACATTTCAAACTTGCCGACATATCTGGCTAAAGCTGATCCAATCATAATCAGCCCCCTAGTATCCCCTATACCAACTCCTAGCTCAAAATTTTCCAGAAATTGCTGAAATCAATGAAATAGATTTCGGTTTCAATCAGCACCCTCACTTACCCCTTTGTACCAACTCCCAACCTCGTAGCTCAAAATTTTCCAAAACGAAAATCGATGAAGCAAATCTTTATCCATAATCAGCACCCTCACTTACCCCTTGTACCAACTCCCAACCCCGTAGCCCAAGATTTTTCAAAAATCGATAAAATCGATAAAGTAAATTTTTGTTCATAATCAGCACCCTCATTTACCCCCTTGTACCAACTCCCAACCTCGTTGCTCAAGATTTTCCAAAAATGAGCAATGCAAAGAAAGAAGAACAGCCATCTCAATTCAGTATGAACGCAGAACATGAGCTTCAATTTGAAATCTTCTTTGCTGATTTGGTGCCAATAGCAGTGCGAACAATCTCATTGATCGAAAAAACATCAATTAAAATCCACATATGATTTTTTTGCTGTCGCAAGCAGTCGGAAGAATGCGACTCTCCATACAGTTCAAAGGTATGCAAAAGATGCATTACCGAGTTTTGTGAAAAAAAACGCGGACGAAGTGAGCTTCATACTCAGCAGTTGGCTGTGCAACAAAGTCGAATAATCTGAATACGGAGTACATGATTACGAATTCGAATAAACATTCGAATAAAAAATTCGAATAAAATCTATTCGAAACCCCGTTTTTTGCTTATTCGAGTTATCGAATTTTATTCGAAACCCTGTTTTCTCAACTATTCGAGTTAGTATATTATTCGAAAATGGAAGAACTCCGAATATCGAATTTCGAATACGAATATATTCGAATGTTTTATTCGAATGATCGAATTTCTATTCGATCGAACCCAAGTATATTGCAAACGTGCAACCGGCAGAAGAGCTATGGGCCCCACGTGATTCTTCACAATGTAATGTATATTGTTTACTAGTCGAGTACAAAGAAGACATAAAACTTTAATGTGTAGACCATCCCAGTCTGAAATACAAGGTGTCCCAAAAAAATGTGTCTACTGTTTGACTGTAAATAACTGTTTTGTAATGAAGTGTTTCGAGAAGCTTTAGGTACCGTTGTGTAGAGCGAGGTTAAACTTAGACTTATAGTATGGAGCGAATCATCTAACTCTCTTCTACGTAGGATTACGGTAGGAACTTCTTGCGTATAAAACCATTGTGAGATATATCGCCTAACAACATTCTTTTTAAAAGATCTGAAAAAATGGTGTACTAGGGTTTTCTCGCATGCTGATTCTACCTAACAACTTTTTACGAGTGTTTTCACCTTTTTTGATGGTGTAATTACATTTCTGACGAATGCTGGAAATTGAGTTATTACGATTTACTGGGATAACTTAGGAAAGAAGCATCACAGTAAAATGAGAATTTCAAATTCGAAATCAGCGGCTCCTACTACCGTAGTATAAGAAATTTTGGCTTGTTTGGTTTTTTACCGAGGCAGAATATAGCCTCCAAAGGCCTAAAATCCTTGTCGAAGTTCGTACCGTATTCTACAGTAATGAAGGGCGATAGATTATCATTCGCTCCACATTGTAAGTCTAAGTTTAACCATGCTCTACAGAACGGTACCTAAAGCTTCTCGAAACACTTCATTATGAGAGAATTTTACAATCAAACAGTAGGCACATTTTTGGGACACCCTGTATATCTCCACAGTCGCGATTTTTGTTGCTGAAAATGAAATGTTCAGAACTGCCCAGGAATTTTCGTTACAACCTAATATTAAGTTTAAGCATTTTACCTCGTAGTTCCTGAGAACTCGCGTGGTCCTTAATTGGTTTTGAGCACTTTCAAACCGTTCCCCAACTTCAAGACGCACACTCGCCTCTTTCGAACTCGTTGAATGGAAATATTTGAGCCCATTTTAGCAATTTATCAGTCACGGAAAGGAAACAAAGATTAAAGCGTCTAACTTAAAAAGTTCAAAACAATCAAGTGAAAAACTGCATGTGCAATTAAGAACTCAACAAATGCGCGCTCGGTCGAAATTTGAAAGAACATTGCTTTGTATTTGTCAAACAGCTTTACGGGTTTGTTCTCGTCTTTTCTTTCTGTGACTTCATTTTTACCGTTGTCCTTCATTGATTTGTTTTCTTCGCTCATCTCCATGGCTTTGTCGTTATCATCTTCCTTCGTCGCTTTCTTTTCGCCGTTAGATTCTATAGCACTGTCGTCTTTCTCATCCATGGCTTTGTTTTCATTGTTCATCTCTACGTCTTTCTTTTCGTCGTTCTCCTCCGTGTCCTCATCATCGTTCACCTCCGTGGCCTCGTCTTCGCCATTTTCCTTCAAGACCTTCTCTTCATTCCTTATTTCTTCGTTTTCCGAGTTATCCTTGGCGGCGTTTTTTTCATTCTTTATATCTTCGTTTTTTGAGACATCCTTCACGGCGGCTTTCTTTTCGTCGTTATTCTTCACAGCTTCGATTTCCTTCACGTTTAGCCGAAGAAAAACTGAAATAAAAGTCAACAGTTTGTGTAAATTGCATCTGTGAGAGAAGTTTTCCGACCCAAATGAAGCCCAAAACTAACCATCAAATTAGCGAAGAACTTAAGAACCTTGTTAGTAAGCTGAAAGATGAAAGAACTCACAAGCAAGCGCAAAGCATGTCAATGTGGAGATGAATCCTGACAGAAATGTCTTGAATGGAGACGTCCAATCGAGAAGAAGACGATAGAGTAACTAATGAAATGAGTTTAAATGTTGAGTTTTTCTTTTACAAAACATTACTTGAGCAAACCCTGTCAGAAGAATATACAGCAAGTATGCATCGATTATTTTGAGCCTTTCCGGTGTTGTCCTCATATAGTCACTGAGCGTTTGTTTCACTTGCACATGTTGCATCTAAAAAAGGAGAGAGCTAACAGACATGAATTGCGTTCGTAACCTTAAGGACAAAGCAGTGCGTTTGAGTTAAAATTTTTTGAAAAGGAGATTAGTGAGCAATTTTACTTTGACGCGGTATAAAACTGCCGCAGAGGCAAAAATGACATGCGTATCGAGCAGATGATGTCTGTCTACATGTAGAAACGTTTGTGCAGCTGCTTTACTCTCATAAATGTATCCAAAGAACTACATTTGCTCACTAATTTCACGATTTTGCAATGATCCGCAATCTACTCTCTGTAGTGTGCTGGCCTACAATTTTACTGGAACGCAAAATTCAAGGTTTTTGCAAAGCAAGCCTCGGGACAACTTTATATTCAAACAAAATCAAGAGGATGTGATCGTCAAATATACACTCGAATTTCACAACTCACTTCTTTGCACAGGCACGTTTTCAAGCCGCACTTACTACAGAAGACCCGATCACTGTTGATCTCCGACTCTTCAAGGTCATCAAAGCATGTTTGTTGTTGAGTTAGATTCGTCCCATTCTCCTAATCATCTTTGATTCATTCTACTGAATTGATATATAGCCACACCATGTAGGAAGTTATTTCTATGATAGATCTGGAATAGTGCGTTGATGTGAGTCTAGCTTATGTGACGTCCATATTCATAAATAGAAAGGCAACTATTTGAAAGTCATATCTACAAATCCATTCTTGAAATCCAGTCACTCAATTGTCATGAAATTGATCCAGTTTGGCACAGCTGTGTGTGTACGCTGTCATTAAAGGCAGTGGGTCGGCAGAATGAGACCCGTGGCAAAACAAGGTCAAGGGTAGGAGCCCCATAATGGCACCTATGGGCCAAAGTTCGATCTTTCTCTGCCACTTCTAACCCCGAAATTCCAAAGCGAAAGTAGCGCTCATCTCCTGTCCTTTCCGAACCCGCCCACCCCATGGACGAGTGACTTCCGCGGTCAGAGCGCCAGCCGCAATGCTATAAGCATGAGGTCCCGCAACGACTCTGCGTCTTCGCCATGACGGGCTTCGCGTTCACTCGTCCATGGGGTGGGCGGTTTCGGAGAGGACAGGAGATGAGCGCTGCTTTCGCTTTGAAATTTCGGAGGTTAGAAGTGTGTAAGCGTATGTGCATAGGAATGCAAACGATAAAGCTGTGTTGTGAGAACAAGATATAAGGCACAGATAAAGGATAAGTATGTTATGTGAATAAGATCAATTGTTGCAGATATGAGGATGACACGCATTCTGCAATATGATACATAAGTCACCACGGTGATCATAATGAGGATTTCCAGTCCCAAGCCGCTGCTGTCAGCTACCAAGCGGCTGATGCAGCCTTCACCCGAACCACCTGCCTTCCTTGACTTCATCAGACCTCTGTGATTCATTCATGTTTTCGTGCCAATAAATCATTATCTGTCACAGTATTGCTGGTCGTTATAATAAATGATGCTATACCACCGTGTCTCTACCGTTGAGTAAGCCGCTTCCACGGCGCTACGTTTATTAGTGGCAGAGAAAGATCGAACTTTGGCCCATAGGTTCCATTATAGGAGCTCCTACCCTGTGACCTTGTTTTGCCACGGGTCTCATTTTGCCGACCTACTGCCTTTAAGCAAAGCGAGCCTCTTTTGCTCATCGACTGACAAAATCCAAAATTCAAATAAAAACCGAGATGAAGGCCTGGTTTTGGCCAAAGCACTCCTTAGCTACCAAGGTTTTTTGAAGTGAATAAGTGATAAATTCCAAACAGTTGCTTTGGTCGAGCTACGCCATACATTCGGAAGAAAGGCTCGTCTATTTTCTGGCTCAATATCTGGAAATGAGAGGCTGCAACATTTTCTACCATTGCTTTTATGTCCAAGGTAGAAGCTCCTGTATTGGAGCAAAAGCCGCTGCTTCATTGCCGCTGTATGGATGACGTTGCACTGCTTGTCCTACAAATACTTTGTAAAAGCAATGCAACGGAATTATAGAATAGTATAGAATTTATATTATTATTATATTATTATAGAATTTTTTTTGCGAGTTTCCGCAGACGAGTAATGCACCAAGGTGTTTCTGCAGCGATTACGATATCCTTTGTACTTCGAGCGCAATAGGTAAGTATATTACGGGAAATAGAAGCCAATTTTTTGAGTTCCCTCGTATACGTTCTTGGAAATTGCTCGAGAGTGCTGAAGCGAACATCAATCTCTGACACTAATGTATAGATTGGAGTGAAGATCTTTCAGTTTAATGCCGAAATCCTGCCACGCAAAATGTTAGGAAGTTTTGGATTCCTTTTAAAAAAAATCAAAAACTGAAGAAAGATGTGCATCAAACTCGCCTTATCAATTTATCTGTGGTTTTGCATGACATCTATTCATTTCGGCGTAAAAAATAAGATGAATCGCAGTTTGGCATAAGGCACCGCTTGCGCTACGTCTAGGGTGAGTAAAAAAGTGTTTCTGGCCCTGACTTTGTTTTTCGAACTAATTTTCTTCTCTATTTTGTTCCTTACAAGAAAGGTCCGCTTGGTCGAAGTGGCCTTTTCACATGAAATTGTACTATAAAGAGCATCGAACGCTGATTCCAAATCTGTCTTCGTTATCTGCCGAGCGCCTCTAAACGTCGAGTTATAAGCGTTTTTGAGTTGAAAAATTGAATGCATTAGCATTAGCACAAAAATCATCAGAAACGCTCAAATGGTCGAATGTTGATTATCAGAGCACTCCATTTGAGCAATACCTTCTGTCCAAAACACTCACACTCACAAACACTTCTACTATATAAAGAGCTTCATAACAAAGATCCCTCCTATGTCGCGAACACAGCGCGAAGATGCCTGGGAAAGCTGTCTACGATGGCACAAGGGCACCCTAGCTTATTTTCTCTTATGCATTTTAAAGAGCACGTTACATAGACTCTACAGTTTTGCGTAAATGGGCGCAGGCTTGACCTCAACGGCCGATCACGCCGCTGCAGTCAAGGGTATTCAAATTCGGTAAATACGGAAGCCATTCTGTAGGAGTAACGATGTCCTACCGCTGAACTTGTGCCATTTGAACGATCTTCGTCTTGTGCGCAGGTGTGTTATCCTGCTGGAGCACCAATCTCCAGCAAAATATGCGTTCGTTGAAGTAAAGAATTACTTTCTCGGGACCTCATACAAGTATGGAGCAGCGTCCAGTCGGATGCCAATAGCATAAAAACCGGCATCTAGCCCTCCGAAATGATCGCCGCTCAGGCCATCATAGAAGCCGAGCGAAGTTTTGCCTATATGGATTGACCCTTGGCTTAAGACGATCCTAGGGCGGTGTTAACCAATCTCCCACTCGCTGTTCGGGGCGAGTGCCCGGACAGGCGAGAGCGCCGCTTCCGTGATTCAAAACTTTGGAATGTGGTCCGATGTAGCAAGTTTGGCCGTGTCAGGCACAGCAGCAGCCTAGCCCGACCTGTCAAGATCGGGCTCTGCTGCCCGACTGCCATGCCCGACATTGTCAAACTTGCCAGATCGGACCATATTCTCTAATAGACAGGTGCGCGATCATCAGCTTAGATTTTTCTATCGCAAGCGGCAGCGCCCGCGCCTGTACGGGCTGTTACCATACAGGAACCCCTTTCTATATAGGAGTGATAAATACGCCCCTGATGTTTCAACATTAAAGGCAGCGGCTCAGCAGAATAATAACTTTGGGATGTTTATCGTTCTCGGCTCCCCTTGATGAGCTAAGACCAAAATTGTGCTTTGCAGCTTCAAAAGATATCAATAATCTACTTTTCCAGATGTGAAAGTGCTGTTTGGGCGGGTCGCGAAAGTGGCCGCTGGAGCCAATAATCCAATTGCCGCCGAGATGGGTACGGTGTGCATACGGTGTGAATACGTGCAAGTAGGCGGGGCCCGAAACTATGGAGGCGGGGCGCGGAAGACGTCCGGCGTATCTTCACTGAATGTGGACCTGTAAAGCTTCCGAAAAAGCTCATTTCTGTCACTCAAGGCGAGGAGGCTCCGAAAAGGTGAGCGGAAAACGAAATTCTGCCGAGAAACTGCCTTTGAAGGCAGTACATCGGCAGAATGAGACCCGTGACAAAACAAGGTCACAGGGTAGGAGCCCCCACATGGAATCTATCGGCCAAAGTCCGATCTTTCTCCGCCACTTCTAACCCCCGAAATTTCAAAGCGAAAGCAGCGCTCATCTCCTGTCTTCTCCGAACCCGCCCACCCCATGGACGAGTGAACGAAGCCCGTCATGGCGAAGACGCAGTCGCTGCGGGACCTCATGCTTATAGCATTGCGGCTGGCGCTCTGACCGCGGAAGTCACTCGTCCATGGGGTGGGAGGGTTCGGAGAGGACAGGAAATGAGCGCTGCTTTCGCTTTGAAATTTCGGGGGTTAGAAGTGGCGGAGAAAGATCGGACTTTGGCCGATAGATTCCATGTGGGGGCTCCTACCCTGTGACCTTGTTTTGTCACGGGTCTCATTCTGCCGATGTACTGCCTTTAAGTAAAGAAGGGGGAGCGAATAGACGCTACCTGCTTCCGCTAAATACACTCAAGTATTAATTGTTCTGTATGAACCTTCTTTGAAATGGATTCCGGATTTTCACCAGAAAAAAAAGAGAATGTGGCGCTGTCGAGACGCAGAGTAATTAGATGGTCCGACAGTCTCCACGCCAACTGGGCGGTGCCCAGAATCTCCAGATGAGCTGGCACTCCCCGGGTGCTCGGTGGTCCCCTCCCCAATTATGTCCCCCATTTTTATATATATGCTATAATGATAAAATCATCTAGTCAAGAACTCTTCTGTTAAGATGCAGTACAACCAGGGCCCGGCACGAGGTGGGCAAATGACAAGCTGGAAATCGTTTTGGGGCCAAAAAGCAAAGGGGATATCGTTTTCGCGGGATCCGGGGCGGAGCCCCGGAAGAAGATTCCAAGTGCAAGCAAAAGAAGCTCGAATCATGCTTACCTTTTGCATCTAATTCATTGGGAGACAGTTTTCATAAACCTTAACACACAGCAGAGTTCGTGCGCGCTACGCCGCGTTGCCGCTAATTGCCGCGTGTGCGACGTCGCATGAGCGATGCCGTTGAATAGCATGATTAGATGATCAGTTCCCAATTCAGGAGTAACGATACAGCACCAAACTATGTAAGCGAACGAAGAGAGGCTTGTAGAAACAAAGTATGAAGTATTATGAAAAACTTATGTGAATGGGAGGAGTAACAAGCATTTTTTCCAAAAAATTTGCAAAACTGGTAAATGAAGTTGTGAATTCAAATGGCTTGTTTGCAGCGCACAGATGACCATACGGTATGAAACTTGGTAGATACATGAACACGGGCCTGCAGGGCTTAACTCAAAAGTTTCATTGTTGTGGTAAGCTTTTTTCTGAAAATTTCCCGCTACCAAAGAAATGGAAAAATGGCTCGTTTGCAACGCAGAGGTGACGAAATCGCGCGGAACTCGGTGTGTATAAGCGCAATAGGACTAAGGGTGCCTTCATACCGCGCCGGCAGCCGCCGCTAGCAGCCCGTAGCAGCCGCCAGCAGCCGCCAGCAGCCCGTAGCAGCCGCCAGCAGCCGCCAGCAGCCCGTAGCAGCCCGTAGCAGCCGCCAGCAGCCGCCAGCAGCCCGTAGCAGCCGCCAGCAGCCGCCAGCAGCCCGCAGCAGCCCGTAGCCGCCACTGGCCGCTTTTGTTATAGAAGCGCAGAATCATTAAAAAAACTACTTTAAGTGCTCCTGCCTATTCTTCTGTTGTTGCCAGTGGGTAGTTCGATCTCACAAATCATATTTGTGTCCATTTTATCACAATGCCGCCCATGGTCATCCTGTTTTGAACCATAGTTTGCAAAAGATTCTTTCCGGTGTGACTTTTTCTGACTTTGAATGCGTCCAGTTCCTGCAGGTGTGCAATTTGTTTACTTTTTGAGTATGCTTTTGCTTCAATGTTTTTCTTGACTATCGGTGCATATCTGCATTGCATTCTACTACTTCGCAATTTCGCCGAGTTGATTCGCGGGTGGGTTCTCTCAATTTTGACAATGACTCACATTCGTTTTAGACAAGACAGTTTGCAAAAGTGAAATTTGGGCACCGATAGGATGCGCTGTGCGGCAGCAGAACAATGAACACAAATGTAATATGCAAAGTCGAGCTACACACTGGCGGTAACAGAAGAAAAAGCGTGTAAGATGAAAAGCGTAGGCAGGAGCACTCAAAGTAGTAAGATTCTGATGATTCTGATGATTTTGCGCCTCTTTAACAAAAGCGGCCAGCGGCTGCTGCGGGCTGCTGCGGGCTGCTGGCGGCTGCTGGCGGCTGCTACGGGCTGCTGGCGGCTGCTGGCGGCTGCTACGGGCTGCTAGCGGCGGCTGCCGGCGCGGTATGAAGGCACCCTAAGTAACAAAGTATGAAATATTATGAAAAACTCATGTGAATGAAGAGCGTGCTTAAAGGCAGTGGATCGGCAAAATCCAACAACTCAGGATTTTAAAGCGGTAGGTTCTTCTTCGCTCAAGTATGAAAACAGTGCAATCCCGGTTGCAAAGCATGCTTTCCCTGCCGAGAAAATCGCTCTCAAATTTACACGCGCAGGCCAATCTTACACGCATCTGGACGAGTTGGAGATTTTCTTCTCACCATTGGAGGCTGCCCGCTGCAACACTATAATCATTGGGTCCGGCAACTATTCAGCGTCATCGGCCTGGCTCCACTCGTCCAATTTCAAAGGGAAGGGTATTGAAAAACGCTTATTTTCGCCGTTTTCAAGCTTTGAAAAGTGGATTATTGGGATCAGCGTATAGAAAAACCTCGCGTAAGCGCAAATTTGACTAGGTTGAGATTTGCCGAGCCACTGCCTTTGACTAATTTCCAAATTAGGTCGGCAATTGCCGACCTAATGTCCACCTGAGGTGGGCAAAACTCTCAATTCACATAACTTTTTCAAAATTTTTGCATAAATGTGTTGTGCACCTAAAGTTTACTATATGTTGAGATTTTGGTTTCAAAACTCCTCCTCTTGTCTTGGTTAGAGCCCAAAATCGCATCAGCAGCCTAGCTTTCTAAGATGGAAAGCGCGCCCCAGTCAATCGATACGCGCGGGAACGGCGTATCTCAGTCCTATGACTGCGTTACTTTGATATTTTTCCATTCCTTCATCATTTTCCTTGTTTATCGTTCTTCCTGTTTTCTTTCTTGATACAGGTGAGGAGTAATTAAAGGAATTTGAGCATTTTGGGCACTTTTAAGCGCTTTTAGGCGAAGTGTGGCCGGTGTTCTCGTTGCACAAGCACAAAGCGTCATTTTTGGGCTTAAGGGGGTATTCGTAAAAACTATTGGGATCAAAGGGGAATTCGTTTTGGAAAACCCCGTTTGCCCACCTCGTGCCGGGCCCTGAATACAACAGGGTAGAGGGATCAAGTCCCGAGACTAATTAACTCGTTAGACTTGACAGCGCCTCCGATTGCGTATTTAAACGGCAAAACATACGCATGACATTGCTTCTGTGTCATTTGTCCACAGGTGCCTACTGGCAGTGTAGTGTGATGTTCACCATCTGTACAAGCAGGAAAATGTTATTTCTAGAAACAACCATCTACCAATAAGGCTATGTGATAAATTAGAAGATTTATTACTTTGATAGAAAACTCGATCAATCCCTAGTAACTGAGAATCTCAATAAATTGAGTTAGACTTCAAGGTGCAGAGTCATCAGTAGTGAGTTATGACAATGAGGTTTACAGGGGGTTTGCATGCTGCCTATTATAAATGGGATATGACTAGGTATAAGCTCCTGCAAGACGAAGGCGGTCGGTTCAATGTGCAACGCGGCTGCGACATGGCTGCGTCACAGCAGCGTCACAGCCGCGTCACAGCCACGTCGCGCCTCGAACCAACCGCCTTCGTCTTGCAGGAGCTTATAACTGTTTGAAAGTTATCTAATCTAAGAAAATATAACATACAAAACTATGAAAAGTATCCTAATTCCGAATTCTCCAAATGAGTTAGACACAGCAACTTTTCAATCCATATTCCGAATACGAGCGCAAACGTCCGCCGTGAATGAAGAGCAGGTGCCGGTACCTAAACACAGTGCTTGATACGCTCACCAACAATTGAAACAAATCTTACTTAAACTTAGGCCCGTATGCACGTACATCCCCGCAGGGAGGGGAGGGGATCTGAGAGGGGAAGCATCATATCTCGCTAGTTTTCATATCTTTCTTCGTTTTTCTCTGTCTTGCTTTTGAAGGTTCTCATACACTGATACCTGCACATAACGGATGCCAGGTTACTGTCATACAAGATCAGATATTCAATATTTTGTCTGATCCCCTGGGGATCCCCAGGGGATCACCTCGCATTTTCAAAGTCCTTTATCTTCCTGAAAACTTAATGAAAATGCTCTAAAATTGTTCTGGGGAAATACTACAGCAGTTCTAAACTTGCTTGTGGTAGAAATGAGTGAAATCTTAAGATATCAAAAATTTCGATGAACCTCGCGAGCCAGGGATTATCGAAAAAATCAAAATCTTTAGATTCCATTTCTTCTGTCGAGAACATGCTCAGCAGTATCGTAGTATATCTTCAGCACATTTTGCCAGCGTTTTCATTGAGTTTTCAGGAAGATGAAATGACTTTGAAAATGTGAGGTGATCCCCTGGGGATCCCCAGGGGATCAGACGAAATAGTGAATATCTAATCTGGTATGGCAGTGACCTGGCATCCGTTATGCGCAGGTACCAGTGTATGAGAAACTTCATAAACAAGATAAAGAAAGAAGGAGAAAGATATGTAGACTAGCGAGATATGACGCTTCCCCTCTCAGATCCCCTCCCCTCCCCACGGGGATGTACGTGCATATGGGCCTTAGAGAGAATATGCACCACCCCTGTATTTGATTGACTATATATACATTGTTCCCAAACGTTGAGTGCAAACAACCTTGTTTAATAATTCCAACCAGCAAATCAAAATCTCCAGATAACCATTCCAGCAAAGTTCACTCGATATAGGATTATGACAAGGTCTATGCCCTACGTAAGGTAAACGTGTTCTTTTAAAAGCTTTGGGCAAAGATAAATTGATTGATTGGTTGGCAGAAAGGAAATCGCGGGCATGAAAAATATGAGATTTATGCGCCAAAAAAAATGATGGATTCTTCTGAAAGCTTTGGGCAAAAACAAATCGATTGAATGGTTGGCAGAAAGGAAGTGGTAGGCACGGAAAATATGAGATTTATGCGCCAAAAAAATGATGGACTCGCTACAACTGGATGGTTCTACGCTGACCACACGAGAAAAGTGCTCACTCCGCCTTTTCATGAGATTACGGTAGAGGCGACTTTTCTAGATTACGGTACAGGTAGGTGTACACTGAAAGCAATTTCTCAAACGAAACTGTTTAGGGGGTTCACCTAACGTACTGATTACGAATATTATTCAAACCTGGCAGACAGGGTATTCTTGCCGGCAAAAAAGGAAGGCTTTTATATATTGCATTTACTGTCGACCACAGACTCATAGATGACAAGAAGTAAATTTCGGTGTCCATCACAACACAGCGAATGACTCTACTGTGTGCGCGCTGAGTGCAATATTCGTGATCGGCTTCGAATACGTATACCAAGGCTTCGATAGCGCCCATTTCAACACTGGCTTAAAAATCGACTAAATGTGTAGTTCTCTGCACTTTTGTAGCATTTTCAGATCGTGTCAACATTGCTTGTTTTGATCCTTGAGCCGTAGTAAACCTATTCCTATACTAGGGCAAAGATCTGGTGCTTGAGTACAATTTCGTTGTAAATGGTACTGGATAAAACGCAAAAAGGCGCCAGCAACCAGAGTCACGTTTGGATTGAAGCTCAATCTTCATCATATTTTCTTTGTAGCTTATGTATGGTTTGAACCTCATAAGAGTAGGCAACTTTATAGCTACAGATCCACTCGTTGCAAGAAACTAATCCAGTATGGCTATAGAGCACAAACCTCCAAGATCTCCTGTCTTTGCTGAACCATCAGCAATCGCATCAAAAACGGCACGCTCCACCTTCGTTGCATATGACGTGAGATTCATGTACCGCAACATCATTACAGCAGAAAGCAGCAAGGCCGTGGGATTAGCTTTATCCTGCCCAGCAATATCCGGAGCGGTACCGTGAACAGATCTAAAACAGAGTTTTGGAAAAAAAAAATCTTGGATGTGTCTGCGTTAAACCTTAAAATCGATGAACATACTCAAATACTGCTGCATCTTCTCCAATGTTTCCCGAAGGCGTGACTCCCAGTCCGCCAACTAAGCCAGCGCAAAGATCGGACAAGATGTCACCATAAAGATTCGGCATCACCAGCACGTCGTACTGGCTTGGATCTTGCACCATATTCAAACAAACAGTGTCAAGATACGCTTCCTGAACCGAAAAATATACTTCCCCTATTTTACTTGTTCGAAAAATAAAATGAAAATTCAAAAAATTCATCAGTGAGCGATTTATATATAGAATAGAAAATTTCCCAATGCACTCACCTTGAATTTTATGTCAGGATATTTTTGTGCTTGTTCACGGCAGATATTTAAGAAAAGTCCGTCAGACATTCTCATGATGTTAGCTAGAAACCATAATAAGAATCAAAAATAAAAACAATAAAGAAACATAAAAAATAGGAGGAACCTTTGTGAACCGCTGTGACGTATTTCCGTGAATTTTGTCGAGCATATTCGAACGCGTACTTAGCAACACGACGCGATGCATCTTCAGTGATGAGTTTGATAGACTGCACAACACCAGGCACTATCTGGAAAAATTTGAATCCCGCTTGTGCCCCCAGACTAGTACATAATTCTCTTCACTCACTTCGTGTTCGATTCCTGAGTACTCTCCCTCTGTATTTTCACGAATAGTGACAACATCTACATTGTCGTAGAGAGTTTTATGTCCTTCAAGGGATCGACATGGACGGACGTTGGCGTATAAGTTGAATTCCCTGCAAATCAAACACATGAATAACAGCACCTTCGAACGGCACAGCATACTCCCAAAGCAAAACTGTAGATCAGAAAGCAAAAAGTCTGTCTATAAAAATATAACCAACAATAAGACAGATGATGAGGATGATGGAAAAATGAACGGTGCAAGATTAAGCACATAGCGAAAAAAAACAAGGCATACAGAGGAAAGGATTGACCACAGAAAACTGACTCACTTACGAACAGCAAGATTGAGGGAACGGTGTCCTTTTCCAATCGGAGTCTCAAGTGGTCCTTTTAGACCGACCTAAATCCTATGAATGAAAGGAGGAAAATATGCATCATGCTAGGTTTTTTATATGTAAACTTTGGAATGCCTTGAATCGGACATTGCTTATTGGCAGCTTATATGAATTCCTAGCGATCGGGAAATTCCGCTATGCACTACAACCCACACCTAGCTGATTGGTTAGCTCGGATAGACTACGGTATGGGCTATAGTTAGGGTTAAATTCTAATCCTTTGCCCAGATTAAATATCACCGCCATTTTCTCCACTCTTTAACATTTTTTTTCAGAAAGGCAGACTCGCAAGATCTGTCATGTCAATAATCCTGAAAATCACTTCTGCCCTAAACAACTGTCACTCAATAAGTCAAGATGACATAAGCGACTACGAAAAACATGTAACAATTTTTGAGGAAATGCTTTTTCAAAAAAAAAACAGGAAAAGAATTTGCTCGTTGACACGACAGTCTTATATAACACATCATCGAACACTGAACACTTCGCAGTTTTTTAGCAGTGTGTAACATTTTACAAAAGAAAATTTGACTGTACAAAAATGTTCGGAATAGGACCTTGTTTTTATGCATGAGCTCGATGCAGCGTGAAGGAATCCGAAAAACTCCATCTCTTCCTTTCACTGGTGTCACGTCAACGGGATCCCATTCTATTGGAGTCTTAGCTGCCTGAAACATTCTTCATAAAAAAGCAGTAAAACGAAAGCAGTCGAGATAGAAAAGCCAACCTCAAAGATTTCCTGGACGGATTTGGAAATCTCTGGCCCAATTCCATCACCGGGAATAAGGACAACGCGTCGTACCTGCACAGATTATGGTTTATATCACTCTAGTTGAAGACTTCTAACATTCTCACCTCAGTGCACATGCCGCGTGTACCCACTTGGGTAAGTGCGCTGACTTTGCTAAGACATTTAACCAGCATCACACTACTGAAAATACAGTTTTGAGGATTTTGAGGATAAGCGATGCGTCACATCATGGTAAACGAAGAATGCGCGATATTATATTGAGGTTTTTGTTGCAAGAAGCACATGAAAAAGGGCAACCAACACTACTTTAATCCTTTGGACGGAAGGCTTCTCCTCCGTTTATTTCATCGCGTTGACCACATATGACCACATTGACCGCTCTAGCTACTGCGTTTTACAAAAGACGTCAATATTAAGACTTTGGACAAGAAAATTTTGCAAAGATGCAGTGATGTGATGCCAATGTGGGTGATTTTATGCGAGTGCGCTCAATGGCGGTGAATCGGCAAAATGGACCCTACGCGGATTTTGGTGGATTTAATACTAGAGGCCCATACTGTAGCCCAAACTCCACCTGCCAATTCATGCGTTAAGTCCTGAAAATTACGCTCAAAAACTTCACCGACCCCGCTCACTCAATGGAAGTGGGCGGAACAGGTAGGGTTTTAAGCTCATTTTCAGGACTTAACAACAAATTGGCAGGTGGAGGTTTGGGCTACCGTGTACTTGAGCGGTCTACTAACTAAATCCACTAGAATCCGAGAAGGGTCTTTTGCTGATCAACTGCCTTTGTGGGCACCATCCATCCAGATTCTCAATTTCCATTGATTGTTCAGAGGCCTTCTCATGTCCCTGATTCCGGATATGAAGTCGAAAATCCGTTAAAACCCCTACAATCTTCATTCTGGAGCCCGCAGGCCGGCTTTCCGGAACGGATTGGGAGGGCGCGCACGGATGGGCGGGCATTGCTGGAGGGGGGGGGGGAAGGGCTCATACATCTTTGCTATTCCGAAGCGATTTCCTCGCTACCAAAGCAACATTTTGCGCCGCGACTCGGGCATTGGCTTTGTAGGGGGCACTTTTATCATATACTACCTCAAGAACCTCAACATAAAGTAGACGGTGCCTTTGAAGCGATGAAAAGGCGAATGATGACATCTATTACCAAACTTCGACCAATTTAGATCCCAATCTTTGATTACACATTGATATATATTAGCCTACGATGTGCCGTTACGCACTATCATAATCGATTTACGTAGGCTAAAGCATCTCAGCTTATCTGAAGCAACGGAAACCATAATTTTTGCCATAAAGTCTAATAACGCTGCAGTGTATCTCACAGAAAAAACTGAATATGTTCCAAAAATTATTAGGTAAAAGTCAAACCATGAAATAGCAGGCTAAGATTTTTTGATTATCAATCGTATCATTGGCGCTCAGATTTCAGTTCTAAACTGTTTAAATTCTGTCTTGCAAATATCAATCCCAACACTTCGCTAATTTGCTTGACTTTCCTGAAAAAAATTAAGTTGCGCTATTTCCCATTCCAATTACATTTTTATGTTTACAGTATAGTAACATGTTTACAGTATAGTAACAATAATTTATAACATTATATCATAGTTGAAAAGAATATTGTAGAGATAAGAGAAAGGATGAGAAAATAAACTGCACGGGGAACAATGCAAACTGTTGCGAAGACGTGAGCAAACCCATTAGAAGCTACCAGCTGTCTTTCACCACAAATCATTTCTACCGTAATCCTTGCCAGGCCTAGACTTCTTATAGCACTTCTTATGAGAAAATGACAGAGTTATGACATGAAGGGTCACATTACAATAAGAACTCAAAGAACATTCGAGAAAAATAAAACCAACATCTATAAAAATCTGCAAAGTTTGCAACAGTTGCAGGGGTTCCAGAATGGATAAAGTCTGCTGCGGTAGTATTTATAGAGGACTTTTTCTGTAAAATCACATCACTACGTAGTGTAGAAGGCAAAAATCAAGATAAATGGGATGACGTATCGATCTGGATTCATGAACGCTGCAGCCACTCGGACATTACAAAAACTGATGCAGCTGGGCGAGATCATAAACAAAAGATTATCTAAGACGTTGAGATTTCCAAGGCTGCACTGTGGAAATTCTATCAAAAGCTGCTGATGATAAGGAAGATACGCATGTCCTTATTGAAACACAGATGACACAAAAAGCTTTGAAACCTGTTTTGCGGTTAATGGGTGTGAATTCCACCATCTTGAACACTCAAAAAATAAAACCATAGCGAACGCACGATTGGAATGAAGTCCGGGAAATCTGTGTAAAGGACATTTCATTTGCCTGCTCAAACAATCCTCAACTCATTTATTTTTACTTGCCTGTATGGCATATTATGTGCATACATAGACACAGAAGCAGCCACTAGCCATTGATTTTGAAATGCGACTATGTTTAGCTGAAAAAAATTTGAGAGTATTTGATAGAGATGTGGGGAAATCTGAGCTGCAACTGCCACCGAATCATGGGGCAAAAATTACTATAAGTAGAATTTTTAGGGCATGGTCTTCAATAACGAATCAAATAATAACTAATATGATGTGTGCTACAACTAATGCTAGTTGTAACACACATAATGAACAAAATAAATACATAAACAAAATAAAATCACATGCTTAACTATTCACTATCATAAACTGATTAGAACAATCAGGCAGCTCTCCTGTAAAGTTTCTGACCTCAGAATCACTGATGAATAGAGCTATTCAAAAAGAAATGCATTGGGATACACCTACTATGAAAAAATGTAAATTAAAATGATGTCTCCATGCTCAAAGATCAGACCTCGGAATAAAGATGTAAATTTTTACAGAAGTTTAGTAAGGAATTTTGACAGCACTTAGAAAGAAGTTAAAGGAGCAATATTATCTATACAAATGATCTGAGAGTTCCAGTCACTAATCAATTAGCTATGGTGTATAGATTTGAGATCTTATAACGGAAAACGACAATGATCCCCCTAATCTACAATTCACAGACAGATGAAAAGCTCACAGATGAAATGTTGTCCTCGGAATTGTTCCTTAACCCCGGAAATGTTAATATGATCGAAAGGCAGCCATGGGAACATATATGGGAACTTATATGGGAACAACTCTGGGAGATGCGTATATCATGTAAAAAACCCGGATCATCGCTACGTTCCTGGCACAAGTCCAGTGCAAACAAAACTGAAACAAAAACATGGAAGTCCAACTATGCCAGGAATTCCAACAAAAAAGAATTGACGGCAAAATTTGTGTAGTAATGCGTAAAACGCGTTCTGCAATCCCTGAACTTCAGGCGGTCTGGAGAGAGCATTCAAAAAGTGGAGGGTGCGGACAGTTTCCTCACCGACGTCACGGCACCACGTCGGTTTTCGTGGATTTCCGGCTTTTCAAGCACTCTCGTTTACCTTTCGCTTTTGTGCGTTCTTGGACTTTTGTCAAGATAAATTGAGGTTTCTTCAGGAGTTTTTCAAAACAGGTCGCTTCCATGGCCAGCGAGAGTCGTCCTGTTGAGATTGCTATGCGATCCAGAATTGCTCGAACTGCATCAGATCAAGATCGACGGAAAGATCAACAATCTTACAAAGATATCGTTATAATAGAGCGGAAAGTGAAGGCTGGTGATACGCTCAATAAAATCGCAATTCAGTATTCTGTAAACGTAAGCTACTTCGTCAAAATGCAAATATATCGTAGTTAAAAATTGCTTACAGGTATCCGACATCAAACGAGTCAATAATCTTGTCAATGATCAAGATTTTGTAGCTTTAACAGTCGTCAAAATCCCTGTGAGTAGGATGAGACATGCTCTAGGAGTGCCCACTTCTTCCGAAGACGAGGAACACATTATCGGTTGGTCTTGCCTATGTTTCTGTTCACATTTTCCAATTTCGCTTGATTTTTTACATTTGTTTGGTGATCTATACTTACATTGTTTTCATAATTCTTTAAATTTCACAACTATATCTTCCGTTAATGCCCTCTGCCACGTAATCAAGCACATACAGATTGGGCGGGTCTCGTTATGGTATTGGAGTCTTACAAGGGAGGCATGTTTAGTCGAAGAGCCTTTTTAAATGGGATGTACACCATATTGAAGGGCAAAAAATGCTGATTTTGTCTGCCTTCCTTATCTGCAGAAGAGTGGAGTGGAGTAGTGCAGTGATACTCATCAGAGCACCTTATTCAAAAAATACTCTAAAATAAAAAATATCTCAGACTTGTTTGCATTATTTGAGCGCTAGTAAAATTCTCATTTCATATGCACGCAATTTTTAGCATCAAAAACGCTTATAACTCCTCGTCCATAAACGTTCTGCAGATAAGAAAGCAGTTTTGGAATAAACGTTTTATGCCGCTCATATGATATACATGCAAAATAGAAGGCCACTCGACTAAATAAGCTTCCCTTGTTGGTAGTCTTGATGCAGGTATTATAGTGCTGTGCCTTTGCCATTTTTTACCTGCCAAATCAGCCCACATTACGAGGGCCGGTCCAATAACACCGTAAAGAAGATCGCTGAGATTTAGTAAGATGAATAGCTCTAAATGTGGAAGACTGACGTAGAAAGCAGGGTTCATCTGCAAGGATGATGTAATATAGGTGCGGTACAATAGCGGGTCTTAAAACTGTTGCCCAAGTCTCGTTGTAAACAGTAATTCCCCGCAAGGTTCATGCTCTAAGAGGTAAGCGGCAGAGGAACAATATATCGTTATGTTTAGGCTGCGTTCATACTGAACCGGAAGTTCGGCAACAGTTCCAGAACGGCGCTCGAAGTGAGCACTGGGCTGGAACTGTTCTAGGATTTCGGGCTCAGTATGCGCAGCTATAGAGCACAAATATGCTTTTAGAGCGTATTCGCTATCTCTTAGGACACAGACGTCAATTTTTTTCAGCATCTACAATTCCCCATCTCATGGAGCTTTTGCGCCGTTTGGGGAACGCCCGTAAAAGGGCTCGGACCTGGGAGGAGTTGCAGGTGCGCTCCATCGCCATTTCGATTAGAGCACCGTTTTTTCAAGTGGGGCGCACTATCTCCTAACACTTAGCGTTTCACAAACTTTCCAAAGAGATGGAAGACTGGGAGAGGGACCATGTGCAAAATAATAGAATGTTTTGGTTCATTCCGCTTGCATGTACTTTTCCTCTTCTCAAGCTGTCAGGACATATCATCATACCCTATGGTTCTCATGATTTGGCGTTCATGCATCACTCAACAATACTTTTGCTTTGTGTTCTTCCATATATGACCTTTGTTTTGGTTCTTATTTTACTCTACTCACTAGAGTTATGCAACAACGCTTTTGGTCCAACAACGAAAAAAGGGGAGACGATCAAGAGGCGCGATTTCTCCGGCTGTCATTAACATAAAACCCCAGTGTAGTGCTATACGAGTCTTCAAAAAAAAAAACAGATAAAGCGCATTGGATTACTATCTGTCTGAGGTTACCACTTGCTAAGTCTGGTGGCTTTTGCTGGAAAAACCAAAATACTTACGAATTTGTTCTTAACTGCATTTTCATGAGTTTTTGACCTTCTCAATTGCTGTTTTGAATTGGATCTAAGGTAGCAAGGTTGAGCAACCCATGCAACTATCTAGCCCAGCCATAGTTAGCATTTACCCTCTATAACCTTTGCCTGAATTTACGCTTGAAACTCATTGTCAGTAACTGTCTTGAGCTTCCGTTTTTGGGTTAGTCTCGGCTGCTCTAACTTCTCTTTGAGTTCACACCACTTGAGGATCCACTTTGTGCAGCTTTTAGAAGTATCTGAGGGCTGCTAGCGCTAAATTGGGATGGATTTAGCACTGGTGTTCGTGTGCGAACTCTTTTTACGGCTCGCATGTGGCCAATCAAATTGTGGCAACAGCTGTGTTTCAGTCCTTCCTACTCCTTCAAAAACATCCTTTACGGTGTTGCTTTGTCTTTTTTTTTTCTTGAGACGACCTATAACTGTCTTGTAATTACATAACTTATCTCGAAAACATAAAATTCTTTCTTGAGATCTGCTGGAAAACTTGTTAGATCGACGTCTTTGAAGCAATGAGAGCTAAAAAAAAAAGAAATCGAATGTGTCATATTTCAATTTTGCGCTTGATAGCAATCGTCGCCTTTTCTCATGAGCTTCAAAAGCGCTGCATAGTCGTAAATCATCATTGCTAATGTTGTTCGATAAGCTTGTCGATGATGCCTAGATTGAAAACTGAAGAAAAAATGGGTGGAAAATGGCAACTTTATGCTGGTGACCTTTATAGACTGTAACGTTTTGCTAAATGGAAAAACCGGGATTTTTGCAGTTAGTGAATAGTTCTGAATATACAAAATTTATTTGCCCAGCTGCCAACCTCAGGAATTCTCTAGAAACAAACAAATTTTGAAACTTGGTGCTATACTAACAGTAAGTTAACTATGAAACTTTACTTATTGGAATTGAAATTAATGAGAATTTTTTTGAGCGAGAGCTGACCAATGTGCTGAACATAGAACTTGGCCTGCTGCCATGTTCTCACTGAGCATCACTTCGGGACAAGTTCGTAGTTTTTCGTAGGACGGGTTCTTAGGCACATGCCGTAGGCTGCGTTCATACTAATCCGGAAATCTGGAAACCTTGAAACTTGGAGCAGATCTTACTTATCATTGAGATCCATTGAGAACATAGATATTGTATATATTCGTGGAAATACATGTGACAAGAGTCCAAACGCATGTAGGGTCGGTTGAATATGCACAAAAAATCCAGCATGCTTGGAATTTATGTATTTCGAGCAAAACATTCTCAAGGATTTCAAATTTCTGGCGGGCTTGTGGGTTTGTGCTTCAAAGCTAAGCAGCAAAATTGTTTGATGTTTCACAGAATTTTTTCTACGCATGAAATGCACGCAAGCGGGTCTTATCGTAACAAAGAATTGGCAGTTTTGATCCTCTGACATGATTTGTCCACATTTTACCGTCAAATTCCCACAAAGATGTCAAAGACTATACGTATACTCAAAAACTACCCAGATCGGCGTGGAAATGTTTGGAGATAGTGCGCTCCAGTTGAAAAAACGGTGCTCTAATCGAAATGGCTATGGAGCGCACCTGCAACTCCTCCCAGGTCCGAGCCCTTTTACGGGCGTTCCCGTTTGGGGCGTTTTTTTTCGTTCTGAAATTCATCTTAAAGCCCCTGGCCAGACTTCGCTCAAAAGCGCCCAAAAGCGCCCAAACTTCTCCGACCTCTCCTCATTCTCTCTCTCATCTCTCCTCACACGAGAAAGTGAAGAGGCACCAAAGAAATTTGGGCGCTTTTGGGCGCTTCTGGGCGCTTTTGAGCGAAGTCTGGCCAAGATCAAAGGCAGTGTCTCGGCAGAATTTTGTCTTCCAATCACCTTTTCAGCTTCTTAGCATGAGGACTCCACATCTGGGCTTTTCAGCGGCGCATGAAAATGGCGAGAATGAGCTTTCTCCGTAGCTGTTCAGGTCCGCAATCAGTGGAGAATACGTTTAAGTGGGCGGGGTCCGGAACGAGGGAGGAGTGCGCGAAACACTTCCGGCGTACCTTCACTAAACGCGGACCTGGAAGGCTTTGAAAAAGGTTCGTTTTCGCCATTTTCATGCGCTGAAAAGCCCAGGTGTAGATTTCTCATGGCGAAAAGGCTTGAAGAGACGGAAAACTGGAATATGAAATTCTGCCAAGACACTGCGTTCAATGTGGGACATGGGCGATTACTTCGGGAATCACGCTTTCACACTGCATTAAAATGCCCCACCCACATCTTACTGTCGACTTTGGCTTGAACACCAACACGAGAAGATTAGGCACGATGTTATTGCTTTGGCTGAAGTTTGGAAGAAATTTAGCTCCATGGGCGAATTCAAGCACCCATGTAAAAGTAGTGTCATTAATGTAAGCCATCTACGGCTAAGTATCGTATCATCGGCTTTTAGTGGATGTAATCTTGATGCAATGTCTTTCTTCAGATTTCGACGATCGCACGCGTTTGTTAGGTGCAGATCACTCCAGGGATCCTAGTGTTGAAGAGATTTTTAACAAGACGGACTCTGCAATAGGTAGGCCTTACACATCTCATTTCCTCATTTTTTTGGAATTTTTGGAATTGGCATGAAAGTTTTCACTTGAAATAATTGTGAGTCTGCGTAAATAATAATGTAACCGATGAAAGGTAGTCATGCGATGTAACTCGTCTTCTTCAGTATCAAGCAAAACTGAGTTTTTAGCGCAAGTCAAGGAGACCCTTCCTGAGGATCGTATCCCTGGATCTTTTCATTTTGTCGACGCTCGTCCTCCTGATTCTTCTATTTGGACTGTATTTCTTATTATTGGTGCAGTGGTAATCATATTCATGATAGTTCCACTTGTTTTGACGTATTATGAGGTTGAACACGAAGATCATACATAAGGTGTCGTTAGTTGTTAATCATGAAATATAGCAATGTAATGTATGAAAATATCCTTTGTTTCCTTTTCTTTCACTATTTATGCTGGTTAGGAGCCATCCTCAAATCACTGTGGGTTTTGATCGTGGTATAACTTTATTATGTGATCAAGCTAAATGTCCTTTTTTTCTAGAAGCATATTAACACCACATTTTCCATGGTGTCGGTGCTCTGTGATAAGCTGATGTTGTATCTATTTACTTTTTCCTTGGTATTAACCATATGTTATGAATCCCCAAACTTTGCACCATGTCTCTTAACACTTGGAATGTCGTCACGTGTTTGCAGCTGTTTATCGATTATTATGTGATACACAAAGAAAAATTTGTATTCCGAAATATAAACATATACATAACGTCGACATAGTTGGTTATACTAAGAAGAACTACAAATTTGTACAAGGTAAGAAGATTTATAGCAATGATGAAGAAGGTGAGAGATTAGTTCAAACAAAAAAAAGTAGAGCTCTTTGAAGGACCTCTCATATCTCGCATGCTTCGGAATGAAAACCAATAGTGGCTTAACACCATGTCTTGTTTCAATGAGGCAGAGAATATGTGCGAATACACACATGTAACAAACTGGATATATAATTTCAGAATTTTAAGGGTTGGGGGAAAGTCCTTGATCAATTTTTGATGTCCTTGTATGTTCGGCTTTACCACAAATTTCTGTATGCTAATTATATGCATTTGCTTGTTATACTCTTGAGTACAAGCCCTCAAAAAACTGGACTATTAGCTATTTTCCTATCGGAGATATGCCTTCTGGAATGGAGCGAGCGTTGGTGAAGAGGATGGCTGACCACTCAGGGATTCGCGCCACGCGAGCGGTCCTCCTATAAGGGTTCGCGTACAAGCGGTCGACATAGGTCTAAAGCTTCCGTGCGTGCGGCAAACAGCTGAAGCGCCGTCCTAGCGGCAGGCAATGTTACCGTGCAAACGGCCTGCAATACAAGTGCTCGAGCGAGCGGCCAGCAATGCGTCCGTCTTATCCGGCAATACGTGCTGCCGTGCAAGCGGCCGGCAGTGACTTCTATCTTCTGCTCACCATTTTCACACATTGTGAGCTCAAACGGTACCTGCGTACGATACGACGCAGCGTCTAGGCTGGCTAAGCGTTGACATATCTTGTTATCAACATTTTCCTTCCCCAGCAAGGCTGAAATGAACCTGTGTGAAGCCACAGTTATCAAGAGTGATGGTGTGAGCTTCACCATGGAAAGTTTGGCCACTGCTGCAGGCATTGTCCGATGTTCTCAAAATGTAAAATCACTAACGTATCCAAGAAAAATGGTCAGGATATCCCACATAGATCTACTCCAACAGCAAGCGAGCAGTCGATCTTCCCCGCGCAAGCGGCGAGCGTTAGGAACCGTGCGGGCGCCCCACGTTAACCGTGCCAACGGCCATTGACGACCGTACAATGGCACACACCGACGAGCGATTGTAGGGTCATCGCTGGGCGCCCGCACGGCGCGAGTCCCCGAGCAGCAAATTGCGCGGGCTCCCCAAACTCTTCAGATCAGGGTCTTTATCACCTTGCGTCATTTCCAGGATATGAACAGCACCCAGACTGTTGTATGAGTGGTAAATTGGCTACTGCGGACAGTAACGGAATTCTGAGAAGTTCGCCAACGCCTTCGTCGCAATCCTCGGCGAAGCTTGATTGAGCTGGCTTCAGAGCTGTCCATCTCTGGCAGGACAGCCTCCGACATCGTAAAAGACGGCCTTGCGATGAAGCTTTTCAGGATGCTAAAATTTCATGCTTTTTGGGAGGACACGAAGCTGAACTGGCTGCGCAGATGCCATCGACTGCTTGAACGTCTCTCCAAGGCACGCCACCAAACGATACTCTTTTCTGACGTCAAAATCTTCACCGTAAGGAAAGTTTTTCATCGCCAAACAACAGAATCATCACCTAATCGCCCGCAGAAGTCAATAGCAAGGATTGATTCGCAGAAGGAAAGCTTCATCCGGCTTCTGTAATATTTTGCGCCGCGATCGCTTCCGACAGCAAGATGCTGGCAATTTTTGTACCCCAGGACATCGAGGTGGACACCGCTACGCACGTGGATAGCATCATGAAGAAGGGATTGTTGGCCTGGACCAATACCCATTTTGCCAGGGGCAATTGATGTCCCCAGCAAGATAGCGCACCTGCGCATAAAGCGAAGTTTGTTCAAGCACGGCTCCAAAGCAACATCAAGGAGTTCGTTACTAATGCGGAATGGCCTCCGTATTGGCCGGATTTGAATACCCCCGACTATAGCGTGTGGTCAATTCTTTAGGCCAAAGCCTGCGCTTACCCACGCAAGAAAGTGGAGTCTCCGCGACTTGCTCTTCAGAAGGCGTTCGAGGTGAAGCACCTCCGTGCCACCATGGACAGCGTTCTTAAGCGTTTCCGAGCTTATCTTCGCGTCAAAGGAGGAATCTTCGAATTGTAAGGCCAGTTTTGTGTAGCAGACAGTTAATTAAACATTACCTGTTAATTTCATGTAATCATCTTGCCTAGCTTCATTATTATGTTAAGAATACCGTATTCAAAGACTTTCCCCCGACCCTGTAGAACAGAATTTGGTAACAGTAAGTAGACAAGCAACATCACTTGTCATTGTAGCACAAGATTCATAGACAAATATTACTAATATGTGACAGACCACTGTACTGAGACTGATCCAGCTTCAGTAGTGTTTCACTCGGTAATCGATTCCCGTTCTTTACATGCAATTCTTGCTAGCTCATCCAGACTTCCACCACATTTAGGAAAACTGCAACTGCTTGAAATATGGAAGCAATTAATCAGTCACAATAATCCAAAACAATTGATAACAAATTATAAAATGCAAAACGATCGACACGATGACACCCAATACTCAATGAGGCGAGAAAATTGTGTTCTCAGCGAATGATTATGAGGGAATGGTCAAAAAATAACCCAACTATTCCGGATAACTTGTACATCATCGCACTCGCCTTGAAACCCTGATCTCAAGTATGTCTACTATTTGCTAAGCGACTACGTAGAAGGAGTAACGAGCATTTAAAAGTGCGGATTCAAGTATTTTGTAGCGCATAGTCCACGGAAAACTTTCGCTTCCTCCCCGTGATTAAACTCTTCACTTCAATTACGCGAACGAAGTTAGTCTTTCAACGGAGTTTGTTCCTAGGGACTTAGATAAGCTCTCTTATTCAAACGCGCGTGATTAATTGCTTAACAAAACAGACATCTATCGGATCAAGGCGAGTACGTTGTTGCACAACTTGTTTTGGCTGCTTAAGTTCTGACCACTCCCTTGTTCTGTGGTTTGAGAATCCTAAAAACTACTAGCTTCACTTCACCAGCTTTTTTTGGGATGCAAGATGTCAATGTATGCAAATAAAAACTAAACCATGAATTCGAACCGCATAAGAAAAAATGCCAAAAAACAAAAATGCATACCTATTGTTGAGGATGGTACTGGGCGAATGGTTACAATTGACTTCGGAGGTACTGCTGCTGCTGCTTGTGATACTTTCTGAGTGCGTTACGCGTACCATTCTTTCAGCAACATCTCGAGAGATTCCACGCGACTGGAATGCGTAAACAGTATGAGGTCATCACATCTTAATGGTAGCAAGCTGATCACAAACCATGACAAGTGATTGGATTATGACTTCGGGCATGAGCACTTCGAAGACCAGATGCACACCGGGCAAAAAGTACGCATCATGTTCACGATCTCGCACCCAAGTGAAAATCAAGTCAAATAAGCTATCAGTCTCATGGTCTAAATCAGAGCAATAATTTAGTATGTCAGCACAATCAAAACATAAAATAGCTAAGATGCGAAGCCACAATTAGATCCAATAAAAACAGATGAATACTTGAAAAAATTGAAAAGTAATAGTGAATCACCCGAAAGTAGACCTCCGTTGTGCATTTCAAATCGCAAGCTTGATCGCGGAGGAGTTACATAGCTCTGTACTAGACTAGTCGTCCAAACCCGCTCGAGAATAGATACCGCTTCCCGGAATATCTGATTGGAAGGATCGTACTAGAAGAGAAAATCAAGTTCAAAAAGCATACAGTAGGAGCTAAGAGATCCGGTGATGGCGAGGTGTCAGAATGTGTGGTTGAATCTGCGGCAAAAGCTGAAGGCCTTGGAGGAGATTTGCTTACAGGCTGACGTTTAGCCAGATTTAAGCAGTCTGTTGTGGCAGGGGCTTTTCGTTTAACGGGAGCTTTTGAGGAAGGCGCTTCGACAGCAACTTCTAAAACAACAAAATTTTTATGTTAATAATCAAGTTAAAGACGGAAGCATAGTATTAGGCCTCGGGCAGAGTTCAGCGATTTCATCGCAAAACAAGTGTTACGAGTTCATTACATGCCGATCTTCTTGTAAAAAGACAATACATTTTACAAAATTCACAGCATAACAAATTTTTCAACTATCCAAATCTCCTCTAAAACTGTTACGACTGATGAACTTTTCATAATAAAAGTTAATAGTCACCTTTCGATGAAGGCTTGTCAGCAATTTCTTCTTTCTTTTTCGATTCTGTTTTCTCTTCGTGTTTAGTTTGAAGTGTCTTTATTTCAGTATCTTCCTAAAAATATGTCATCGCCAATGAGTAGCAACTTGGAAAACGTTTTGATGTAAGAAAACTTATGTTACTACCTGCACATTGAAAACAAACAATAACGGACCTGCGCCAGGGTAGTCTGCAAATTCACGTCCACTTCCGAAAGCTCCTCTTGGAGTAAACTCTTTCTGATTGTTTCCAAACTTGTAGATTCCTCCAGAGCCAGCTCTTTTGATTCAGCAGAAACTTTGCTATCTTTGGGCTTGGACTTTTTGGGAGTGGATTTGGGAAAGTAAAGTGGAGCAGCGGAACCCTAAATAGTGAGTATACAAGATAAACACAAAAGTGAGGGATAGTCCCTCCATTCCGATATTCTTGCTGTTCAACAAAACAGATTTGATTATGGTACCTTGTGCAACAAATCATTATGTCACAGTTGTCGAATACGATCAAGCCTTATGAAGGATGAGTTCATGCACTAAATGGACTCACCCTCGTCAAGTCTTTGCTTTTGAGATATTGTTTGGCTAGTCTGAACGCATTCTTGAGATCATTTTTTGAAGTTGAAGGTAGGACATCGTCTATTGTCAGTGCACGTACATGCTGAAAGGTCAAATACGTCTTAAGCTAAAGCTAGTGTTAAGACTACCTTTGGCAAACAGCTGAATGTCGGAGCCTTCTTCAATGCTTCTGAAACTTCCGAAGAAGGCAAGGGAAAGAACACATAAGTAACTTTTTTGGGATAGCTGTTTCGAACCTAAATTGCTGTGTTAGCGTGAAAGAAAAATTAAACGCAACAAAAAAAAAGAAAACAAATATGGCCACTTACCAAAGCAGGCCATAAGGGCTCTCTACGATATGGGGCCCAAACTACGTCGCCTTTGAGAACTACTGCAAAGAAACCTGCATTACATTCCGATTTTGAAAAAAGATGGACTCACTAGAACCTGGTTTCACCATTATTGAGCTTCAATCATATGTCCATTACTGAAATGACTAAAATCACTATTTTTCTTTGTCATGCAAGATAAACGACAGCGCAACTTCCAGAAATCAACATAAATCAGGCAACTCAAAGAATAGTTATCAAATACATTTACCACCCATTACTTGAGCTGCGATGCTTTGCGGATGATTATTATACATCACAATCTATTTCCTACACCAAGTTCACAACACTACGGACTCGGCAACACAGAACACGTTACTTCCTCCAGGGAGGCGTAAATGGGAGCAAGCAGATGCTTCTTTTACCATACGTCGAAGCGCAGTATCAAAGTCATTAAGGCTTCATCCAAGAGTTAGTTAGGTACGGAGAAACAGTAAAACTTCGTTCCTCAAGGTACAGGAAAAAATGAAAGTAGCGAGGGGAAAATCACCTGCGGGAAAATTCTTTGAAAATCTGTGAGAAATTTACGTCAGGTCAAGAGCATTATAGCAACAATAAAAGACAACGATATGTACTTCTCTAAACATACAATGAACTATGCAAAGCAGCTAAGAAAAATTGCGATATGAAAAAGCTAATTCTTCGAAAGCTTCCAAACCGCCTTTCCTTTGAAGAAACCTCTAAAATGTTGTGCACGAACAGAAGAACAGCAATTCACGTCAAATATTGGAAGCATTTAGCAACAGTAAAAGAAAACGCTGTGTACTCTACGCTATATGCGCCAACAGAAAGAAAATTTATAACACGATGTCATAGTGGAAAACCTTATAATAAAAGTAGAAACTAAACAGCTTCAAAATTGACAATAAGCTTTTGAATAAGGGCAAAGAAAATATCCGCCATTCACTACCTTCTATGAATTTATTAACCAACTAGAATATTCTTCTGCCTGAACTAAAGAAATGAGGTACCGCTGCGGGCGTAGTAGGTGACGATGACAGCTGAACAAAATTCTTTTTTTTTGCAGAAAAATGGTTCATTCAAAATTGGGAGTAAACGTTTAGTGCTGTCAACGAAGACTCTTGGACGCGAAACTCACGAACGCTTCTGCAGCAACATACTCTGCCAAAAGAGAATAGAAGAGACTGACTATCCCCCCCCCCCGCTCCCCTGCCTTCTACGAAGTTCATCAGTAGTCATCGAATTTAAGCAGAAGCAACCAGTAACACAAACCTTTTGAATATATTATGTACATGAGCCAACGCCTTGACCGCGAGCAAGACTTGCTCATGAATAGTCAAAGTTTCCAACACTTTGATGAAACAAGACCCATCCCACCGTCATCCGAGACCTAGCGACATTTCGGTGCACATACTGTGCCACCTTTTTCATATCGGATCCACTTCCTTTGTCAGATCTTTTTAAACGATGCTCTAACCAAATCCCGGATAAATAATCCAGCTTTCGTCGTTACAAACTCAACAGCACACACGAAGGCCCTGTTGTGCACTTCAAAGAAAGAAGAAAGTCTTAATTGAACTGACCATATCTAAACTGACGGGCAACTCGAATAGCTGGTTCATCTCCCGGATAGAGCCATCTGATTCGTTTGATTCGACTGTCTAACAACTCACAATTAACTATATTAGGTCATCTACCTACAGATTTGTAGATTGATACCAGTACCAGTTATACCAGTATTCTCACTTTATAAAGGCGCGATGCATACTAAAAAGTTCCCCATGGAAAAGCTCTATGTATTTGTTTGAAGGCAGCGTCCAGGCAGATCTGGACCTATGGGGCTTTTATGTGGAAAGTACTTTTGGGGCCCCAACTAAGGCACTGCCCAAGCGGCAGCTTAGGTAGTGCTGTAATGGCTGAGATATTCCCCTCGAAACTGGACCCCGCGACCGTGTTTCGCATGGATTCATGGCACAAAGCGTGGATCCTGGCGCGAAACTGCCATATCCATGCGAATACGTTCGCGGGGCCAGTTTCGAGGGGAATATCTAAGCCATTACAGCACTACCTGAGCTGCCGCTTGGGCAGTGCCTTGGTTAGGGCCCCAAAAGTACTTTCCACGTAAAAGCCCCATAGGTCCAGATCTGCCTGGACGCTGCCTTTAAAGTTTCGTCAGTCTACAAGACTGACAGAAACGAAAACGCTAGCTGCGGAGACAAAAACTTTTAAAGTTGTTAAGAAAAGAAGAATCTCAAAAACAATGACTACAAAGCTATAAATTAGGAGCAGCTCACGGATCTCCCACGGATCTCCTAACCGGCAGGTGGGCGTCAAGCGATGCACTCAACTCTTGCGTTCACCGCTTTCTTTCAGTCGCATCAAGCACGAACTTTGGGGTAACACAACTGGCTTGCTTACTTTGGGCCTACTAGTTTAGATCATCCGTGAACACTTGAAGAAATCAAAGAAGAGAAGCGCTGAAGCGCTGAATGTAATGTGACTATGGTAACTACCACTACATTAATAGATGACGAACAACGGTAACAACTTTGGAATTTTATTGGTCATCGAACACTGAAATGCAGCTCTGACGGTCTGATGAGGCTATGTAAAACCTGACTTCAACTGTCAGTTATGACTGACATTTAAGGCAAAGCTATATACAGGATGAGAATAATTTGAGAACTATCCATCTGATGGACATATCTCTAGAATTCAATGTTAGTAAAAAGCGTTCTAAGACTAGAAATCACAGAAATTAACCTAGCGTTTATAAGTAATATTTGGATATGAAATATGAAAGAGCTTGTACATCAAGGCACTATATCCTAAAAAGTCTATGACTATGACTAACGCCTATCTGAGGGTTCCATCGATGAGCTGACTTATTGAGCAATCGGCAGGAAGAATGAGTTGGCATACTGAGAGCACGGGTGAAGTTAAAGGCTTCAAATAGATTGACAAAGCAAAAACTTTGCAATTATACAACATATCGATATACCTTGAATAATGCTATCACATCAGTTAACGAATACGCTAGGACATAAGGAATTGTCGTATGTATTCATACGTTGTGAAAGACACACCAACAGCGATAGGGCCTTTGACCCAGTTCATGCTCAAGCCTTTGTAAAGTCCACGTTTTAGTCCTTCTGAAATAAGTATAAAAAAAAACGAGCAAACTGTTAGCAAACAGAAATTCTCTGTATCTATTACAGATTTGGAACACTTCAAAAAGACCAAAAAGAAGTTTGCAAAACCAACCCGTCTTGTATATGAGGATGAGAGACCGCAGAACACCATTACTCGGATCTAGTCGACCTGTCTGCATTCTTCTTCTTACGATGTCCAGTGGATATGATGACGATTGTCCCACAAGGCCAGCAAAAGCACCAAACAGCATACGCCAAGGGCCAGTAGGATAATGACCCGTGCGTTCCTTAAATAGTTTACTCAACAAAAATACGTCGCGAACGAAGAACATACCTCGTATTTAAGTTTTAAAGTTTCGTAAGTGAAAAAAGAAGCACCAGCATACGGCGTGACCCCTGAGATAATCAATCGATAAAAGTAATTTATAAATTGTAAACTATACAATAGATGTGATTATTCATACGATGTCAGTTATTAAAGGAAAAACGGGGAGGACAATTCTTGGGGTGTTATCAAAACAGGCACTCATACCAAGCTGCAAAATTGAGCAAGTGGGTAAGAGCATTTTATGGCTTCGAAAAAATGAAATTGTGAATTTTACTAAGGTAGAACACATTTCTGCGAATAAAATCATGAAAATCATGAATAAATAAATTCCTGCAAAGAATATCCGCATACCTAACACTGTCGGCCAGATTCCTCGATACAATGCGAGTATACCACCTTCTCGAACGACTTTCACAAAGACCTGCAAAAAGATTACTCAAGACCAGAATAAAAATGAGAACAAACAACCAGACGAAAGAAAACTACCTTACCGCCATAAGTGATGCATACTCTTTTTTGGTTGAAATAGATAATCGAGCTTTAGCTGTATCTAATGGGTAAGTGGCACAAGTTGCCGTGGCGCCCGCCATCGAACCGACTATGCAACGTCGGGCAGGAGTTCGATTTCTGAAAGCACACAGGTGATTACCACATAAAGAATGATTTTAGGACTTACCCGTCCATATCCACATTCAACAAGTGTCGATATTGCTCGAAAGCAGCAAACTGAATTGCAGCATAGGGCATAACGCGCACCATGGTAGCCGAGTTACCGCGAAATAACGCGAAAAATCCATGCTCACGGTATGTTAACAATACAAACTTAAAAGCAGATTTGAAAGAGTAACCACGAGTCGAGGACACTGAAATGAGTATCTAAGAAATTTGTATAGAGATGATGAAGACAAGCCTTGGAAATAAATCTTCGTCCGATCAAGTGGGGCGATGGTTGTTTTTGCCACACAGCCTGCAATGGCACCACCGAATAGCGAAGTCGCGACTGTTGGTTTCTAAAATAAGCAATGTTGCTAAAGCATAATGATCAAAAATCTATGACGTATAATCTTAGGCATCCTAAATAGGGTGTCCTGAAAAATGTGCACACTGCTTGATCGTTAATAACTCCTTTGCATTAATGTCATTCGCCGTCTATCATTTAATCATCAAATTATCATTTTGTAAAGCAGGTCGCTACCTTAGAATTACTGGAGCAAGTCACCGACTGTGGGATTCCGGTAGGAAATTCGATGAGGATTTAGAATACTATGGCCATATTTTGCCTGAGAAAGAAAGCCAAACAAGTCGGAAACTCTTGTACTGGGGTAATAAATGTCACTGATTTTGGATGTGAAATTCCCACTTCATAATGATCCCAATTTATTCCTAGTTACAAGTGTTTCTCCAATGTTGCTCAGAAATGCGATTACACCATTAAGCCAAAAAAAACTCTAAAAAGTTGTGCGGAAAAATCAGCATGCGTGAAAACCTTGCTACAAAGTATTCCAAATATTTCTTAAAATTTTTAAAAAACGGCCCATTTCAAAATGATTCAGATACAGAAAGTTCTTACGGTGATCCTACATTTAACAAAAGCGATCCGTGATTCGCTCCATACTGTAAATCTAAATTAGAGCCCAGTTTTACATAATGATACCCAGAGATCGGCGAGAGAAATCAATGCAAAAGGTTACCAACGATCGAACAGTGTGCACCTTCTTTGGCATCTCAAATTTGACGTAAAATCTTGAATAACCTGGTGCAGCTGCACCACAGCTTTATTTCTCGATGCTTGCCTCAAAACTTGAATATTTAACTAATTCCAAACCTAACAGCCATAGCTATAATAAAGAACGACTGGAGACTTACAATTTCTTCGGGTTTTAGTGCAAGCATCCGAGAACCTGAACCGTGATGCAAATGCACCAAGCGACTCGAGATTTGACGGCCCTCAAACATCTAAAAAAGAACACAAAAATTCATTCAACGGAAGGACAACGACACACAAGTCCACAGAAGTCGGCAAGCCATGCTTGAACATAACGAAGAACTTTGCTGGCATGCAACGAACACAAATTCGCCCAATCGGAGTAGCGAAGGCTCCTCTGAACTGAACGATATTTAGTGAAGTTAAAAAGCTGTGGGTGGGGGAACGAAAGCCGCCAGGTCCAGCCGCCTTTCGCGGCCAGCTGGTCCTTTCGCAGCGTTGTTGCATGTCGTTCCAGGACCAGCAGTCCGCGAAGGCGGCTGGACCTGGCGGCTTTCGTTCCCCCACCCAAAAGCTGTTGGGTCCTTTATTTCTCTTCTAGTAGTTAGCTCTTGTCCAAAGCTCGTTCAAGTATTATGCATAGTGAGGAAAACTAGCAGCTATCGATTGGAAAAAATAGACAAAGCCTTTGGAATTTTGGAACATCATGAAAATCCGATAAAAACATGAAACATTCATAACTTGCACGGCATTTCCAATTTACCAAATAGCTTCTTTGTATCAGGAGTGCTACCGCAAGGAAATTATCAATCTACCTCTTCACTTGAATTATAAAGTTCACCGACAGAGAATATCGATTGCAAACTGATGTTCTATGATAACAAGTCAAATTCTTTTATAACAACAGAACCACAAAAGCTTTCACACAACTGCGATAATCTCTATTGTAAGCGAGATGCTCCGAAAAAACAAAAGTGCAGAATCTCTCGACACTGCCATCAAATCATTCACACACGACAACGAGACAGCCGTTGATTGAGTATCGAACGCTATGCCACAATAACTGAACGCCCAAACAAAGGGGCTGAATGAGAGTAGGCATCATGAGCCAAATATGTAGTGACAGCATGGAAGCAATACTTTTTCATTGATACGCAAACAGGAAGTTCACCTAAGCTATAGTGAATATATAGGTCATTTATAAAACCGTGAGACGGATTTGACTGCGGTCTTTGCGCCCAAAAGCCCATGAAACACTTATCTACACGAAAAGGCATCACTTTACCGCTTTAGTCACTCCCAGCGTCTAAATATTATCATGCGTAAGCAACAAACACCATTCGAGTAGAGATGAAAACTAAGAATATGTTGCCGGTAGTGCGTGCGTGTCGCGCAGGCAGTCGAGCCATAGTCACATTTTGCGAATGCCCTATAGTTTGGTTCCAGTTGGTCGGCAGCAAATAGATTTTCAATGGACTTTGCCTACGCGATCGTTATATTGTGAACGCCAAACGATTGAGTTGGCATAGAAAAAGCCTATTCAGAGTGCAACAATTACAAAATATGAATACACCACTGCGTGGGGGAGGGGGGAGAAGGGGAGGCGCTGAAGGCGTGAGCGGTTCCAACCGTATGAGTGAGTAGCGCAGAGAGACGAGTGAAAGATACACCGCCACATGTGTCACAACTTTTTAAAAAAAAGCAGCAGTTAATCGACTTTGAACAAAGTTCACAAATTCATGATAATAAATTTGAGAACAGTAATTTGGAGCAATTTTAGGTGCGGGCATCAAGCATTCCCAAGTTACTTGCGCCAACCAACGCCTGATTTTTCCCGCGCTTCACAGGAAAAAATCGCTCGTGGTCATTTATCTACAAAGTCGACAATGCTGACGATTTGAGAAAGAATAACACTGAGCCACCAAGCGCACAGAAGGCGGAGAGCATTCCTATTCTCGACATTTTTAGTTAGTAGATACAAGAAATTATCTTGAATTACATTCCTAGCAAATCTCTTTCAAAAAAGATTGGTTCTAGCATATCTAGCGGAATCTCAAGCTGAACTCTACATGGGCAGAGATCGAGCATCCAATGTGAAGCAAGTGCATCAGAGAAGGGTGATGATTTTGTTGCGCTATCGATCCCCAGGTATTCCAAAAACGCCAATCTCGCCTAGCATTCGCGAATGTACTAAAATTATTGTTTTTATTGCATTTCTATACGTGTGATGCGTTTTTTATTCTCTTATCGTCTAAGCCGCCTGTGACGAATGTAAGCATTAGTTTGACATCCTCCAAGACTGGGAACCATATTAATCAAGGTTTCTCCAATAAAAGTTTTTTAAGGCCAAAAGAAGTCATTATAGTGATAAGATAAGCCTTCGATCGTTACCAATGTGTGTGATCGTTTGCTTTACCTGAGTGGGTAGACAATAAACCTCATTGGCTTCTAAAAGAAAGGTTTCTAACTGCACATATTACATCCCAAGAAAATTAATATGACAGAATAACCATACAGGGGGGTTCTTGCGCAAATTAGAGTCTTTTGGAGGTTATGCATCTGCACAAATCAACGAAATGTTCTTATGGCTTTTACTGGCTACGAAACAGGCGTTTCCCAAAAAAGGTTTTACCATAATTTTGGCTAGAGAAAAGAGGAGAAGATAGTTCGGGTTTGCTGGGCATGCGTATGTGTAACAAGTTATCTAGTCCTTAAAAGCCCTATGTATATACCAACCTAACCTACTTCTAGAAATTCTTTAACCCATGTGTGCGAACCACCAGAGGAAAGAAAGGGGATAACGCATTGTCAACAACCTGCCAGTACAATACTAGGACACTAAGCTGCGAACTATGACTTGTGGAAGCATAAATGCATTATCTTAACTCCAACCCCACAGACGAAAAACCGCCAACCTAAGCGTGAATACGTCAAGCACTGATGTTATAAAACGAATAACACTGCCTGTTATTGCTTGGTTAGTAAAAAATGAACCAAACCCAAAAGAAAAACCCAAACCACCGAAAGAACTGACCCGATTTCGTGGATGGTATGCCTTCTCGGTGGTGGCAGGAGTGTCCGACATTGTCGAAGCAGAAATTCCACAACGACAGCGTGGCTGGCTTCAGCTTAGATTTTCTTAACGACCCTCCTGCACTGGAAAAGACCGAGTTATTAATGAGTGTACTAGGAGTTGCGCGATCAAACGTTTACATTCACATAGTCACGTTGGAACGACTAATCAACAGGTTATAAACTAAGGAAATAATGAATGAGAGAACGTGACGATCCGAGTCGAACGAACTCACCTCTTGGGTACACAAAACACATCGCGCTCCGTGGGTACTTTCTGCGTCGTCACTCACATCGTTTCTCTGCGTCTCTGCATTACTTTACGTCTCTAATCGACTTTGTATGTCTGCATTCACTTTGATGTTTGATGTTTCACGGACTTCGTATTTGAGTGTGCATGATCTCTTCTATCTTTCTTTGAATTCTTTTTTTACCGGGATACATTTTTTACGTGGGAATTTGTACGTGCTTGTTCGTTCTGGGTTGCAAATCTATGTTTTTCTGTCTTTTTTATTGGACAAAGACCAGGCATCTGGAGATACATCAATTTCTCCAGCAAAAACGATCCGGTTGCTATCTGTCCGGCTTCCATATTTCTCTCCGTGGTTGTATCGAACTTTTTCGAATTGCAAAGTTGGTCGAATAAATTGGTTCATTCCCATACAAATCGGCTTTGAATCATTTCATGAGCATACTGGTGTGAAATATAGATTGGATTTTTTTGTGCTGGGATAAGAATTAAATTGGCGGAATCGCCAATCAAATTAGCTCACAAACGATTTTACTCAAGGGATTAACCAAAAAATGAAAATTTTAAATTTCGCTTAAGCTCTATTAAAGGCTTATCATTGTACGTTATTTACTTATTTATTTGAATGCACAAAAAGTGCGCGTTCGACTATTCAAAAATTCTGGGCAATAGTCACGAGAAAATGATAAAAGAACTCATTGTCAGATATAAAACCATTACTAAAAAATGTTTTCAGTTATCAGTCACTAGGTTCGTAGGCAGTTGGATATTAAACTTTCTCATCATTGTGTTGTCAAGAAACGAGTGACTCTGGAAAGACCAATCTGGAGAGATCAACAAGCAATTGCTGCATTTTTTTAAGTATCCAGCTTCAGTATATAACTTGATATATAGTTGCCTGGTGAATACCATAGAATGTTTGGAACGGCTACGCGATAGATTCTAGGTCTCGCACTCTCAACTGTCACTAAAACTGGTTCACTTTCTTACAGCATGGCTACTCTGGCTGATGGATGGCCGAGTGCCGGAGGAACAGCATTGAGAAGTTCCATTCCTACACAGGCTCCGAATCCGCTACCAACTATCCCTTTGCATCGATCAATTAATCTGTGAGTACTGTTTCTTTGTCATATACTATTAATATTGACTTCACTTTTTATGATTTTCGAAAGCATCACATCATAACATCACTTTCGCTGTAGCCATATTATCTCATCTGTTGCTATTGCACTTCGATCGTTCTAATTAGCTTGAAACCCTTGAGTCTTAGTCCGTCGCTCTTCAATTAATCTGAAATTCCACTTGGAACCATGCTTTGCAAAAGCAGCTAGCATGAGAAAATTGAAGTGTAGTGCGACTGCACTCTGTCGCAATTTTAGATTTTCACATGAAACAAATGTTGAAAGTGATATCTTCATGATGTTTTGGTTCTTGAATGTCTTCTTAAAAATAAAATGTTGTAGGTTTCCACTTTCAAACTACACTTTTGGTACAAAGGATGCACAGTCCGAGAGGGATCATTCTGTACAAGCACGATTTCAAAGGATGCGAGAGGAGTACGAAAAGGTAACCATTCGGATAGCAATGTTTTTTCCCCAATTTTCTTTTCTCTTTTGTCGGAGACTTTTTTCAAAGCATTTTTTGAGATTTTCTTAAATCGTGATGTTGTTATGGTACAGCTTCAAGGCTGCGTTCATATCCATCTGTAAGTTCGTCGGGAACAGTTCCAGTACAGCGCTCGAACTGAGCGCTGTGCCGGAACTCTTCCCGAACTTTGAAATTAGTATGAACGCAGCTTAACCTACGATATGACCTTCCATCTTCTTTCTTTGCAGAGTTTGCCAAGGACCATTCGCTAATATTTTTCTTTTTTAGTTAATTAGTAAGCTATAGAAAACGCTTTTAAAAACGAACGTCGAGAAGTTGATCATCTCTTGGTCCTTGCGATTGTTACTAACAGTTGAATATCTATTTGAAACTGCAGATGTTAAGGTTGGAATGCGGCGGTCCGTCGACGCAGTTCTCATCGTGCATGAACATTCTCTTCCGCACATCTTATTGCTCCAGATAGGAACTACTTTTTTCAAATTGTGAGTATCAAAGCGTTCTTCAGGAGCGCTTTCGCTGTAAAATATACATCAAATTCTAGACCTGGTGGGGAGTTGGAGGTAGGAGAAGAAGAAACCGATGGCATGAAACGTTTACTAGATCTCACCCTTGGAAGGACGGATGGTGTGAAGAATGAGTGGAAAATAGAGGTATTCTCATCCCTTTTCTCTAAATATGTGTTGTGTTCTCCTTTCTGAATATTGTTTTCATAATGCTAAGCTTTTATTTTCACTTCTAGGATGAAGTAGGAAACTGGTGGAGGCCCAATTTTGATCCTCCGAGGGTAAGCTAATTTTTATGCTCGTTGGAAGTGTACCTATCTTGTTGCCTTTTTCAGTACCCATACATACCAGCTCATGTCACCAAACCAAAAGAGCACACCAAACTGCTGTTGGTGCAAATGCCTGAGAAAGGTTTGTTTGTTTTTATCTTTGCTAATTTGGGCATTTATGATCTGTCGGCGATAGTATCGCATATCAGGAAGAAAACAAGTTTTCTCCTTGAATTCTAGTCAAGTAGTAACACTTAAACTTTGAATAGATAAACTGTGATATCTTGCGAAATATGGAGTTATTTTTTTGTGGTTTTTGTCAACAGCAACACGTATTTTTTAGCTATGTTTGCTGTGCCGAAAAACTACAAGTTGGTGGCAGCTCCTCTGTTCGAGTTGTATGACAACGCTGCTGCTTATGGTCCTCTTATTGCTAGTCTTCCAATGGCTCTGAGCAGGTACGAAATCCAAATATTTTAAAGCTTTTTTGTTCGTCTCTCACTTCACCACTCAAATCTTCTATACATTGAATGTTATGCGAAATTTTTTGATTTAGGTTCAATTTCATCTACAATGGTGTCGTCTGAAATCGTGGTAATTTGCGTTTTGCATTGATACTCAAAATACTGTTATTTTTTTCTTTGTTGAATAAATTTCTGGTTGCCACTCTGCCAGCTTTGTTGTTCTTGTTCCATAATATTGCAATTTTGATCTCTCTGTAGCCTTCGAATTCTCATCATAATAATTATGGGTTCCATTTTATGCTGTATAGAGCCCAGCTCACTGCTTGTGTAAGAGTTTGTAAGAGTCAATGAAGAAGCTTTGACTTTTAATTGAAGGACAACTTACATACAATGATTTTTTTTCTTGTAAGTGTTCATAGTAGTCATCGTTTGTGCATAAGCAACTTCCGCCTAAGCATAGCCTAGTCGTGGATTACATGTTAGAGTTAATAGAGCTAATCAAAGGAGGAAGTAATGTTCAGAAAAAATCGTTCTGTAGTATTCTTACGATTAGTACACCCGTCACGCTTCGCTATGATGGCATTCATTCTAAGTGCATTTTTTTGTGTTTACGCAGATGACTTGATGAGCGCTGTCAACTTTTCTACACTAGACCCAGTAAAAACACGATCAGACAGACTCGAGGGCATCACTCATGATGTGGACATCAAAAATTGAACCCTAGCATTGCGATCAAAGTTGATGTTGACAATGAATGGTGGAAAAATACTGAGAGACGGGTTGGAAATTTTTACCGAGGTTTCAGTGCTGATTCTGGCATACATGCATTAGAAAATCTTCTAAAGAATCTCAAACCTAATATTCTGTGTGTCGTAGTCCACTCACATTTTTCGCTTCTTTTCTGAAAATTCATTCTATAATAGTTTTATACAAGGAGTTTTGGTCATGGTACTAGGACAGTTTTTGTTAGTCGTTCGATACTCGAGACTCAAGGCAACCACAAAAGTTTTTGTCTTTCCCATTTTTGCTCTTTCAGCATGACTAAAGTTGAGGAAATGCATTCTGAAATATTAGAAGGCGGTAGTCATGACGCTTGATGAATGCTGTTGTTGGTTGAATTTCTCAGTTATGACTGGACCAGAGTTTACACCTGGATGTTTTCCGGCGTTTTCACACGCAAGAAAAATATGTCAAGGTGTCTAAACACTTTAAGATGAGTTCCTTGGAGCGCGTTGATTTTTTCACCACAAGCATCAATGAGTTTCAAGGAACACATCTCAAAGTGCTTAGACAAATCTTGGCATATTTTTCTTGCGTGCCGAAAAACATTGCCCAAGTGTGAGCTCATATGATTCATTCATGACTGAGAAGTTTAACCTCAAACTCGCTTTCACTATCGTACTCTTCAAGTGCGCCTCTAAGCGTCTGAGTACCATATTGGGCTACAAACTAGACCAAAAATGGTAAGGTAGAATTCGCTTCGTTTTTCTTTGTTCTTGTAAAGATAATTAAATTACATAGTTAAAAGACCAAAGCGCGAATGTCAAGGAAGTTTCTGGGCTCTTCGAACAAGTGTTGATGTGCGTAGACTTCGTCACTTGTGACGCGCCTGCCACTGGTAGTCGAAGGGAAAGTGGGAAAACGGGACAGAAATGTTCGCTGGCCTCTTTTCACTTTTTTGCCTTCCTCTTTGAAGTGGCAGTAAAAAACTGGCTAAAAAAATGAGTTGTTCTCAAAGATCTTTGAAAAAAGCTTGAAGGGTTCTTTGTAAAAAGCATTCGTACGTGTCTCATGCGCTTGGAAAAAATGTCACACGGAATGTTCTTTCTGAAAAAATTAACAATTTATCTTGTTCCATATGAAAACTTCATGCATATGAAAAGTTCAAACTTGATCAGGGATCAGAGTAATTGTCATCTCAAACTTATCCTTCCAGGAATCAGACATTGTAATTTTATGGTTCAAACTCCACTCATTACATTTTGAAATAAGAGCCTGCAAAGAAATGAAAATGAGAGTAACACTGAAGAAGAAAGTTGGCATGACAGTCGGCAGAACGTGGAAGTTCAATAGAGATTTAGGAAACTGCAGAACATGCAAATTCTGATCATTTTTCAGCTTGACAGGATATTTCTCAAAAAAATCTGAGAATCGTCTATGTATGGTCGTAAGCAGCGAGAGGGGGGGGGGGAAGAAGGAGTAAACGTCCAAAGATCAGCTTCATTGCTCATCTAGTAGTAGTAGTAGTAGTAGTAGGTAGTAGTAGTAGTAGTAGTAGTAGTAGTAGTAGTAGTAGTAGTAGTAGTAGTAGTAGTAGTAGTAGTAGTAGTAGTAGTAGTAGTAGTAGTAGTAGTAGTAGTAGTAGTAGTAGTAGTAGTAGTAGTAGTAGTAGTAGTAGTAGTAGTAGTAGTGATAAAAATAGAGATGGTTATACACAAAGTGTGTAACCAGGACATTATCCAGTATACGAGGTTCTACCTCGTATACTGGATGTCCAAGGGAATTGAATCACGAATATTTCATTTATTCACCAGCTTATTCAAGATAATCTTTTGAATCGAAAGAACTACTTTGTGCAAGTATTTTTAAGCTGAGCTTACGTCTGCAGCAAATCTTTTTTGAGATTAACGAGTTTAACAACTTACAAAATTTTTATGCCATGGAAAGAAAATTGTGGAAGTTTCCAAGATCTTTCTTGGTGCATGGTTGTCCCCTTCCTAAATATTTAACAGAGAAGTTTTTGCATTCTTTGCGGAATAGCAGTTTCATAGAATTAATGTTTCTATTTCTTCCATGAATCTGTAGGGACTCAAATATTTTTGGAGTCGCAGATGACCCTCTCCCGTAAATAAAATGGTTTCTCACCCTCCTCCATTCCTCCAAGAATTCGCAGTTTCTCTGTATGTTGCACATGACATTGTCGTATGGTCTGAACGGGGTATTTTAAAACACAGCATAGCTTTAGAGAAAATGGAGGTAAGAATAAGGAAGAACATGAAATAGCGAAAAATGAAGACGTGCGGCTTTATGTGGTTTGTTGTCTCTATAAATCGGGCAGAAAAGAAAAAAAGAGAATGAAATTGCTTATCTGTTCTTTAAGAAAGGGGGGGGGGACAGCATATTTCATTCGCAGACCAGAAAGTTGATGACCTACTGTTTTGCATTCTTCTATATTTTATACAAAAAAATGCAAATGCTTGAATAAAAGAATCACCACATTATTACACCTATTTTGTTGCACAAAAAACAATTTTTCTATCACATTTTTGACAGCCAGATGTTTCATAGCTATGAGTGGCTTTCTATAAGTATGCTTTTTGTGAAGAGTCCCCAAATATTCCGTGAAGACTTTTATATAATGTCTAAAATTTCCAAGTTGTAAAGAAGTCATCAGTCTCTCTGAAAAATCCTTCCACTTATCCCGAGACATAACGGCGCGATCTCCTCGCCTAATTTTTCACAAAGCAGATGGCATCGTGCCAGTTGCATTGCGCAAAGCATTACATGAGGCGAATTTTCTCGAGCAAAGCCCATCAATCAATCGCGATTCGTACTTTGATTGGCGACGTTTACAGTTGCCAATGGTCTTACCGTAATCGGCCCATTACGAGAGAAAATGAATGAGTATGGCACCATCATTCAAATTTGCTCCAATCGAAGCGGTGCAAAGTTGGAGCAATATCATTCAAAATGCTAAGGAGCACGTCATGACGGTATTAGCACTTTAAAACAGAAATCACATCCAGTCATATTGAGCCAGTCTTCTGTCAGGTTGGAATGAAAAGAAAGTCGTTTTTCAAAGCAGAGCAATAAGAGGAACCCAAAAAATTCAAGGGGTATTATTTGGTAGAGCAAAGAATGCTTTACATGCTGACCTTTGAACATTGAAAGAAGTTATGGTTCACGCAAAGTTTAAAGTCAAAATATAAGAGCAACTAATGACGCCAAAAATCGGACTTCGCAAAAGACCTCTCACTTGCTCCTGCATATATTAGGGTGTTTCATAATTTTTTACGGTTTTTACCTTAAACTTAAACATCAGCATTTCATGAAAACTGGGGCACCTTCAAACTTCACAAATACATGGTCGTACTTCCGTATGTATGAACTGCATGATCACGTGCATGGGAGGAGCTCAGGATGTCTAAAGGCGGAGTTTGCCATTTTACCCCGTTCATTTTTTTCTTTATTTCTAGCCATGGAAAAAATCCGAAAATGGTGCAGTGAATGTTAAATATGTCGAGCATATGCTGGGATAATAGGGGATTTTTGACATATTTTGGAGCGGAGATACGAATTGAAAAGTTCGTTTTCGACTGCTGCCACATTTCAGCTTAAAACTTCCGGTGAATTACGATTTGGGCTGATTTTTCATTGTTGTCTTGTAGAGCTTGCTTTGCCAACTCAAATGATTGCTCAAGCCATATAAATGAAGGAAGATACAAAGAGACGACGGTCATAGTAAAAACAGTAAAAAATTTATGGGACACCCTACTAATGGACACATCCTCTTACCCATAGATACAGTTGCTATTTTTTTTCCTGCTAACTTAAATATATAGAAAAGATTAAAAACCGAAAATGGCAAACTCACGCCGTTGTGTGCTCCAAACTTCACTCTGACCATAACATCCTGGCTTTGGATATGCCTTTCTTAAGAGATATCAATTTTAGTTGTAAAAACCGAAAAAACGACTTTTTTTCAACGTAATAGTTTCTGCTAGGATCAACTTTGTCGGTCAGCATCCGATGGAGCTTTCTAATCTTTATCTGTGTAAGTGCACCTGGCTCAAATTTTCTCCATCTTTGGAATTCTTATATCAAGATACTTTCCGATTTTAATCGCAAAAAAATCGTGATTTTCAACTCTGCTTTTTTGAATGTGTGAAAAATTTCACAAAAACTTGTCATTACCTAAAAAGCTTCAAAATCTCTTTCGAATGGTGCACCACTTGCTCGAGGATCTTGCGGCCAGAAGTTCAGGATGCCCGAAAAATGTGAAAAACTAAAAAAAACTTAAAAAAAAAACTCTTTCATAGTGTAGCCACCCCAAATATTACGGGAGGAGAATTTCCGAAATACTTATTTTGAAGCGATGTGCGGGCACTTGGTAAGAGATAGAACTGTATTCTTCTCTATGAAGAAATCGGCTTTGCCTTTCTACAGTACCCGTGAACGGAACACATCGTGCAATTGCACTCAAAAAACACATTCCGTCACCTTCCATTATACAGGCGGATCCATGTAACCTCTAAGACAATGCTCGATTAGGCACACGCCTTCACGAATGGATCGGAAACTGATGTGTACGTTTCGCTTTGATGTGTTTCTGAATAGATTATGTCATCAAAGGGCGGTGTCCCCGGGGTGTCCCGCCGGAGAAACCGACGAGATAGCATCTGACAGCTTGCCATATGCGACTGCTCACGACATTTGAGCACTCTTGGAGAAGATCATAGCGATACGCTACCGTAGAACTATCAAACTTCTTATGAATGAGCGACATTTGGCGCAGATACTGCCAGCTGAGTCAATCAGCCGACGCTGCTCGACATGCTCGGGTAATGTGTAATTTCGCACCGATCATCGTTGCGTAACAGGTCACTACAGACACCTGGCTGTTGCCCAGAGAGGGAGCCACGAGTTTACGAACGATTGCTGGCTTGATACTATATGATTACTGTAGTCTACAAATAATTTATACATGTAAAGAATGATCTACGCAAAATATAAACAGAGCTAAATATAATAACTGCTCCAACTCTCAACATTCGCGTACCATGATAAAAGCACTGAGAGAACCAAGATGCATAAATAAATTTCCTTAGTTGAATGCTGTACGATTACTCGAATTGTAATGGATAAGCCTATGAGTTAGTCTCCCATAAACGGTCGAGATTTTCTAATCGGGCCATAGGCCAAGACAGATAGTCACAAAAATTCCGGATTAAGACGATTCCAGCATCTAAATCGATATCTGATAAATCTGAAAAACTTTCACATCAAGTTTGTAGGCTAGCTTCTACCAGTGTACGTAGAAGTCATCATATAGTCATTTTACATAGAAAAACATATAAGCAATGTGTTTGGCAGAGAGATTTAATTATTGGAGCTATACATCTGAAAATTTTAGACATTCGTTCCAGTCATTACGATTGAAGTATGGCGGCTATAAATTGTAACTTTTAATTAATAGATATTGCATATCATTTGAAGAAAATTAGTTAACAAATACCATAGTAAATCTTTTTTTTGTGATGTGTAGAATGGGGGAGATCATTCGAGATACTGATGCTATTCAGTGCTCAAATCAATTTATCGAAAATATTCGAAAGAAGTTTCTTGCTGTTTTAATCTTCCTCCCATAACTTCTTTTCATGCGTATAAGAACTAGAGTTACAGATGGGCAAGTATCAGAAAATCAGTGGAGTCTCGTAGACCAAAAAAAATTTTGCCTGTTGATTATATTGCCAAGTGAGGTAAGATCTAATATCTGGAAGAAATTCCCCACTCCTCTAGCTGCATCCTCGGCGCTGACGCAATGGAACTTCTAAAAGGATACTGTAACGTCTTAGAGATAGGTGTACCCCAATTTTGCGCCTCTGTTGATTCCACTACGCAACAGCACTTGAATTTCATGAACACGATCCAATTTAGGGCTGATCCTCATGCTCTGTAGATGCGAGAACAGGTGTTGATGTCTTTTGTTGGCGCCGGTTACGCAACAGAGGTCGGCGAGGGTCAGCTACCAGATGACGCGCATTTCCGGGAGACAAGTACGGTAGTTCAGGAGCAGTGAAGACGCTTAGGGAGTATGGTAATGAATTTATATAGACTGGTCTTCGTTGGGAGGAGCGAGGCCGTTAAATCTTCAAAATTTCCTCCAAGAACTTTCTCACTCCTTTTTGATGAGATTCTTTCTTGTTGAAGTTCATGACGACCACTGCTCTTTGAATTGCCAACTACATATAAACAAGGAAGAAAATGGCCCTCGAAAAATGAAGTTCTTTTGTATTTTTATTGTACCGTATGGACAATATAGCCTATCAACTTCATCTCCAGGTACACAGCTCACTACACTACATATTGCGCAATCAAGTGGTTCTAAGATGAGCAAAAGGGCACCTTGAAGACACCTGCTGCTCCTCTTAGCATTGTACAAATTGCTTGAGACGTAATCTGTATGCAACACATATATACCATACCAATCAGCGCTTCCTAGTCTGCTTTGGATTTTCTTGCTCTTCCCTGAAGATCCATAAAGGCCTGCGATGTCCTACGAAGTGGTCTAGTTTTATGGAAGCCGCAAGCCGTGTACGAAACTCCCCTTTCATTCAATTCCGGGCAAGCTCCGCGACAAATGCTTTGTATGCCGAACTGAAGGGGCATTTGTTTCGAGGATGAAGAAGCACATCCACTTGAATTCCGCGTGTTGCACATTCCACTACGAACTAATGCCAAAGCATAACTTGCCTATAAAAGGGGCTAGTGGGGCCACTAAATCAGTACCCAAGCCCCTAAATCTACCCTGTAGATCATCATAGGGCCTAAGCAACCCACAGGAAGGATGCTGGAGACGGTAGCAGAGTCTGGGCGCATCTTCACCCCGCCTCCAGCTAGCCAACCAATGAGCGCGTTGCTCGAGGCCCCGCCTCCGACGGTTGTTGCTCATCCGGACAGGCAACAGCTCCACTTCAGCAACATGTTCTCACTCCAGGAGTTCCTCAGCTCCCAAATGCTCTCTTCGATGATGCAGCCGTCCGTGTCTACCGCTCCTCAACCGAGTTTTGGTGGGTCAAAAGCTTCTTTACCGGCGATTTTGCCCGACATTCATGGAGAAAACTGGTGCAATGGAAATATTTCAGGAATGCCATTCGACGCTCAATTCTATGTCCTCATGAATGCACATTTACAAAATATGCTGAACACTATGCCGCAAAAAGTGAAGGAAGAGGCGGAGGAGAGCGAAGAACATGTAAGACTTAATTTTCAATGCGGCTTGACCAAGAAAACGTTTCTAAAAATCCATATTCGGTAATCATCTGGTTAACTATTTCAATTCTAAATGAGTCTATTTGGATTGGAAAATTTGTCGTATCTGACTTTGTCTATTATATTGTTTCCCCAATTCTCCCTTAAACTGTACCCTAAGTCCTTTTTTCTACTTAAAACTGCAGTCTGAATCCCCTTTTTGATATTGTCTATTTCTCAATGCTTGCTCTTCCTTCAAATCTCAATATCCACATATTCACCAGATTTCAGATAGGTGTACCTGCTGTAACTATATTACTGGACTTTTGCCGAGCTTCAATTATGAATTGATAGCTTCACCTTTCCTCAAAAGCTGTTCCATCAGACTTTTCAAATAGATAATTGCACAAAGAGATTCACACCTAATTTCTTCAAAAACTTTGAGACGTCATTTCTGCGCAAAAAAGATTTAGACTCTCTCGGTTTTCCCAAATTGTGGGTAAATATCAAAGGTAGAGAATATGCCAAACTTTAAGGATATTTTTGTTTTTCTCTTATGTGGTTATATCTGGTGGAAAATGGGATAAAATAAAGTGATCAGAAGTGGCTAACTATAATGACGGGTGTAAATTATGCGGAGCTGGAAATTTTATTTTTAGCGGTCTGACAAGTAAAGAAGTAATTTTCTAGTTCTCTGCACACACTCATTTCCATCTGTGGAAACTGCTGGAAAATTATCAGCATAGCTCAATTACCTGCATCATGTTCCCTGTGCAACAATCTAGCATATCAATTGCACTTCACACAGATTTCTTATTATACGTCTTTTTTTTCCGCTCCAGGAAGTGATGTGAAGATGTCGATTGCTAATAGTTGCTAAATTTGTTCTCAATAGGTTTAATCAAACTGTTGGAAAATTCTAGCTATTCATATAATCGCTAAATTGCACCTCAATCTTCCTGTGGAATCTTTTTTTTTTGTAGCAAAATGTGTTCTACACTGATGAAAACACTTCCAGAAAACACAACGTTCGTTCTCGATCGACAACCTGCTGCGACCGGAAAGCGAAGAGAAGCAGGTAAAGGAAACAATCGCTCTCTACGCGACCGCATGAAACAAGAGATTGAGTGTCGGTGGAGATTCATGCTCTCCGGATAAATATTTGCTAGGATAGCCGAGGAAAACAATTGTTCATAGAGAAATAGATACATATCGCAAACATACGTCTAAATTTTGCACTTTTTTGTAAATAACGAGGGGTGTAAACAAGCAAAAATGACCAGAAGTGCATCAACACATTTGCATTAAGAAAAATACTTTCAGTAACCTGTTCGAGTATGAGAGCTTTTACAAGATGCGATTGTGTCAAAAAAGTTTTGCATTTAGGCATCAAACACCCCCGATTCGGATCTAACAACTTATACGCTTGATGCTCTTGAAGTATCCGACGGACGAACAAAGACCACACGAAAGTGAGTAAAGCCGTCTTTTTTGGGTAAAAAATGGGAGAATCTCTGGGATATGAATATATACAAATGAAGGTGGGGCGGGGGGGGGAGGGGGGAGTAAAAATGAGATGGCTATGAAAATCTCAAATTCCGATTAAAGTTTGGATCTTATGGTGCAGTATACAGTTTACTGTACTGCTGAGTCGCTGATTCTTTCATTTCTATTAGCGAGGAGAAGGACGAGGGTAAAATTGAGGCAGTGTCCAGAAAGTTGGCATTTCGTTCTCTTTGAATTTCTCATGAATATAATGAATATTGTAAAGAGACCTCCACTAAGAGATTATTGAAGCGACAGTTGGATTTGTGGGTTAGAAGTGCAACTCTAAGCTCTCGTCCAAACCGTATTCCAGTAAACCCATCGCTAAAAAGATTGTGATCTGGTCTGCGAATTAGATTTGACTTTCTCGGCCAAGAATGAAGAAACCATATGCTGCGGCTTAGACAATGGGACTTTGATAAGGCTCAAGCAATATCCATAAGAAGTTTCGGTACTTGGCTAAGCGCTGCTTTCGAAATTTAAAGAACTTAGGCAGAAGAATGCTTCTTGAGCTATATATATATTATCTGTATCATATTTATTACACATTTCCTAAAATTTCAGTTGATGTCTCTTAGATGCTACTGCACCTAAAAAATGTCAAATTATTTTTATCAGCTTTCCACTGTAGTCTTCATCACTTGCGCTAAAAGACCTGATTTCAGATTCTCAAACTCTCGGTGTGTTTGCGACCAATGTGGCAAATCCTATGCTACCACCAGCAATCTAAGCCGACATAAACAGGTGACAAAATCTTTGAAGACATATGAAAAATGTCAAATTATATTTTTTGCAGACTCATCGCCCCCTTGATAGCGAACACGCTAAACAATGTCCTCATTGCGATCGAGTTTACGTCAGTATGCCAGCTCTAAGGTAAGTGTCTTACCCAATCTGTGAACTGCCCGTGAACTGCTTACCTTTGGATGCACCTGGACCTTCGTGTAATAGGATAACACGCTTGCACAACCAGTGTGAATATCAGCTGCTGCGGGAACGCGGGGGCCAATTAAGAAGGAGGGGGGGATGATTGTTTGAGGAGTGAGAATTGCTCCCTTTTGATTGATAATTTTGTTACAGTATGCATATCCTCACCCACAAAGCAAGCCATAAATGTGATATCTGTGGAAAAGTCTTCTCCAGGCTATGGTTGCTACAGGTAAGCCTCTATTCTCTTTTCTTTATACTGCATCTAGAGTTCACTGTGCTGGCAAATCTCCGACGCCGTTCCAGCACCGTGCTAGCGCCGTGCCGGACGTATTGATCGATCGGTGCCGGCACGGCGTCGGAATGGCTCTGGCACTGGCAATTCCATATGCAATTGTTTATAACTCTACCCTATTCTTCTGCTCTAGGGTCATCTTCGCTCCCATACTGGTCAACGCCCATTCGGCTGTGCTCATTGTGGAAAAAGTTTTGCAGATAGAAGCAATTTGAGAATGCATATTCTTACCCACACAGGTTCGTTCTGCCTCCTCTTTCTCTCCCCCCCCCCCCTCCTTCCCTTCTTCTCGTCCTGCTACTTCTTGCATAATCACTTGTGGTTCCGACACTCGCTATGACAAATGGGGACATGACGACTAATCCCTCGGCAAAGTCTCAGGGAAAAGCCATGGATTACGATCATCATGTTGTCAAAGCGAGGCGCAATCCGAGAAATTATTGGTGGTAGCGAGAGAATCCTTGCGATTCTGCGACTCTATACAGCAAATTCAGTACTAAACAAGAAATGCGGCAACAAAGATTATCCGTACTTCCAAAACAACTACTACGGTAACCTTTAGGTTTCTCAATTTACGGAAATGCGACAAAGGTAAACCCTGTAGGCAAAATGGCATAGGATATCCTTTATCAAGTTATTTCAACAAGGGCGCAGTTCAGGAAAGACCTAGCCGTTCTCATTTCCTTTACAAGAGATAATTCGGGAAAGTTTAATTGCCCAAGGCAATAGAGTTTGTACTGAAGCTGACATTTAAGCTGTTGCATAACCAGTGCAAAGTTTTTCTACTTTTAACCTTTGAATGTTGATTTAGAAGGGGAACTCTTTCTCACATTATCGCATCATTTTGGAGCTATTTTCTGCTCATTTCTTGTGCATGATTTCGTTTTCATACAACATAACGTTGTTATAACAACTTCTGTGAATGTTAAAACAAAAATCTGCAATCTTTCTTTTTTGTCTTTGTTGAATTGTATTTAGAGGCGCGAAGCCGTTATTTACCGTTCAAAATCTTGAACGCGTTAGACGAAAATGAATGTGGAAGATTTCAACTTCTTGAATGTTTACAAGGAGAGCAAAGAAGAGCGTTGTCAGATATTTTGCAGTAAGTCCTCGAAAAGGGTTGATAAATTCCGAGCTTAGCACAAAGATCTGGGCACAGGTGACTTATAAGAAAGCTAGATATGGTTTTTGGGACAAAAAGCAAAGAGAATATGGTTTTTGTGGGTGCAAAATTAGGTTTTTTAGTCGATTCCGATATTTGAGTCAAGGACTTCGTAAAAATTTGCGGAAGTCAAGGGAGGGGGGGGGGGGGAAGGGAACCTCGTTTTTTGCATTTTAGGGAAGCCACGTCGTGCTGAGCCCTGTTTGCGATACATCGTATAAAGCCTTAAATATACGAAATTTTCTGCTAGTAGCAAAAAATGTTGTGTCAGACGCACATCAGCACCATAAACAATAAATTAATTTGAAGTCATAGTCATTTGAAATGTCTATTGGAACCATGCAAATTTTTCCATGTTTGGTACATTCCGGAATGAGTGTTGCCTCTTCAAGATGGCAGTTTATCAAAAGATATTTGACAGTCTTTGAAGAGTCCATATCCGAGCTTTTCAGCGCATTGGCGAAAATGAGCTTATTCCGAAGCTTGGTCCGCATTCAGTGAAGATACGCCAGAAGTCTTCCGCGCCCCGCCCTCGTTCCGGCCCGCGTCCAGGTGCACGAATTCTTCACTGAATGCGGACCTGGAAAGCTTCAGAAAAAGCTCATTTTTGCCATTTTCATGCGCTGAAAAGCCCATATATGGGTTATTTATGGCAAGAAGGTTTCGGGCGAAAAACTGGAAAACAAAATTCTGCCAGAATACTGCCTTTAAGGTTCTCTCACATTACAGATACATCTGAAGCATTCCCATCAGCTAAACGTGCACCGTTAGACTGAACATAAAAAATTTCCAGGAGAGAAGAAGTACTCGTGCAAGAACTGTGGACGACGCTTTGCTCTACGCAGCTATCTGAAAAGACATTTGGAAACTTCTTGCAAGATGGACGAGAACTGAGACATTGTCAGAATCCTCAGAGAAAAATTATAGATTTGAATTTGCTTTGATGTACACGTATGATTGATTCAAAGTATGTGAAGGGTATGGGATGTTTTGCTATCTTTGAACCTGTGTACAAAATCGCGCATGTATTGCCGCTCACGTGGTTGCACAGTGTGTTGATCACAGTGTGCGTCGGCGCGATTGCGGCACCACACTGGAACGGCGCTGGCATGGCCAACTCTAGACGCAGCCCAAAATTATTGTATCTCACTGTTCACAACCTTGACGCGTCAAACCGCATTGCCATGCTGCCCGCGTTTTGTGCTTTATCTGCGTCGGTAATTTATACAGATCAGTAGCATAACCCGGCATTATAACTGTATTTTTCCACTTTGCCTGTGCGTCTCCACTTATTTTCTTTTTTGCTATCATGTGATTGTGATTATGACGATTCTGCTTTGCCCTGCTTTAGCTGATCACTCAAGCAGCAACAGTATACATCATCTACCTCCACTTTGTGATCTGATATCAAAGTATCGCTATTCTTTTCTACGTCAATGATGTATCGATTTCGCTCAAAATCATAACAATTCTACCATTTTTTTGATGATCTCAGAAGTTATCGTCGAGTCATTCGTAGCTTGATATGTGAGCCTGTACACAAAGCGTTTCAACGGACGGCACCCTTAGCATTAACTTCTCGATCAAATCTTTTCTAGCGTAACAAAGTGTGGAAGTGTATACTACTGACTAATTAATATCCTTTCAAATTGAAATAGGCAAAGAAACAAGGCGAAGTCGCTGAAATAAGCAGGTTTCAATCTTCTAAGTTCGTCAAATAGCGCGTATGGTGTGCAATACGCATATCAAGTTACAAATGACTCGAACATATGTACTAGTACACTGTTTCTAGTCGTATTTTCGCGTGCAGGATTGTAATGCTTGTGCCATAATTCTTTTGTATATTGTGCAAACATTTTTTTACAATTACATGCTATGTTTTCAGTGGGAAGCCTATTATAGAAAACTTTCATTATACGTGGAGAAATTTGCTTGAACTATAAAAAACTCCAAGTTTATCCATATATCGGCTTAGGCCTAGTTGCAGGTAACAATTGCGAACAGTCGCAAGGTGTACGCAACCTATCATGCAGTTCGAATTTTCAGTACGGCGACGGAAGGAGTTTGATAGCATTTCATGGGTCGGGAAAAATGGTAACCTTTAATTCAACTGGCTTGGCCGCTGGAAGGCGGGGCTTTGTGACCTAATTAAGGCCGCTCGCACTCGCTACGTAGTCTGCGTCTCTCCAGCTCTCTGATCACTACCTAGCCCTAATTAGTTTACGGAGAACCGTCTTCCACCGCCAAGCCTGAATTGAAGGATATAGAGAGCAGGGCGCGGTACGCTTTGCTAGAAATTCTGAAGTGAGAATGAGCTCTCGAATTTGCTTCCTTCTACAGCATAGTTTCATATCGTTGCGACCAGTAGTCCGCGAAGGCTGTTCAAACTGGCGGAGTTCGTTCCCCTACCCCTTTCCCACAGCAAGCGTGGGGGCGGAGCCTCAATTGATTGGGAATGATTAGAGAGCGTGTTTGCAAAAGAGGTGCAGAGCCCCGCGCGAGAGTCGGAGATGCTCATGCACCCGACACTACATTTGATTAGCCCTGTAGAAGTTTAAACGCTTTAGCCAAATGTCATACCTCAGTTCTTTGCTTTACAAATAGGAAAGTCTTTCTCATGAGTAACTTTCGACGGAAGATATAGGCTTTGCAAAAAATCAATCAGCACAATTAAATTGAAAGCAGTCAAAACTAACAGTACCACCTACTGCTTGCCCTGACATGACTTTTACCCATAGAATCCTTCCATCCTATTTGCCAGGGGACTCCATCATGGCCACTTCTTACCACCTCGAATTCTCCACGGCTATGGTTGTCCTCGTAAAGTAAACTTTACTATAGAAAAACTGTTTTCACCGTATAATTGAGGACCCGAAAATATGTGAAACTAGCTAGGGAACCGCTCCACTCGCTCCCGTCAATGATATTCTCGTAATCAGCATGCTCACTTACTCTCTCCCCCCCCCCCCTCCCCGCCAGGGCCTGGCACGAGTCCGTTTCTATGCCTTTTGAAAGCGAAGTAGGTCCCCTAACTTTCAAAAATTTTACGAAGTTCTCCTTGATCCTTGCTCCACCCTTCCCCCCCCCCCCCACCCTCCGACCGGCTGTTGTTGGATCTCCGCATAATCACTTGATCCTTGACAAAACCATTTACCTGCTGCCCTACATGATCACCAGATAGGGATAGATCACAAGCAAAAAATAGAAGGAGAAGAATGAAAGAAGAATGGAAGAAATCAACATAATATTGGAAAAAACCTGGAACTGAAAACGAAAATTCAAAGGAAAAGGACGCAGAAACGCTGGGGCGCCATATCTAACTAGGCGATTTGCAAAAAAAATGGGCGATAATAAACGGCGGACAGGGGGCGATATAAAACTGTCCCCTATGCTCAAGGGTAGATTCTTGACAGGGCATCCGGCCATACTGAAGAAATTCGAAACTTATGTGAAGTGACGGAAATATATGCACCAAACCATTTCAGATCGTCTGGTGGCCGTCTGGAGACGGACTAATTTTGGAAAAGGTCTTACATCACATGACTTTTCAAATGTTTTACGTAATTCTTTCGCAAATAGTTTTCTATGTATACGATTCAATTTTGGTGTCATATGATTCTGTGTGCGCTGTAAACAAACAATTCGTTTATTTTAACCTTGCTTTCAAATCGCGCGCACTTTTCGTCATACACGATAGAGCATGTCAATTGTGTGATAACCTGTCCGAAAAGCTTGCGTTCGACTAAATGGCGCTTATTCTTTGTGCTCGGCCCCGGATCGTCAAAAACGAAATCCCCTTTGCTTTTTGTTCCAAAAACGAAGTCCAGCCTGCTTCCAGACGATATGTGCCGGGCCGTGCCCCCTGTGCTCATTTTCAGCCTCGCAGATGAACCTCTGCAAAAAGATCGATAAGACCGATTTCGATTAGTGACAAAAATAGCCTATTACTCTCGTCTCGTTCGAATTGTAGATGTGCCAATTTTGGTCCAGATCGTTTCAGAAATAAAAATTTTTATTTGGAATTTACGTACATACACATAGACACACGACAGACAGAAATTGACAATTGTCTCATTTATTAAGCCGATTGATAACCGGCAATGTCGGTTACCTGTCGACTTAATGAAGTCGGCCCAACATTCAATAAGTTTACAGTTTTATACAGATGTATTAGGGTGACCCAAAAGTAATGAGGCACCTAGATTTCTCAGACATTTTTGAAGATTTTTTTCTAATCAACTATAGAACCAGCAATCTGAACGCTTTAGCAGAAAGTGACTTCCGCATGTTATCCTGACAGCACCTTGCAGCAAATCGCCCACAATCTTTGTGGCGCTTCGGAACTTGTTTTTTTTTTGAGCATCCGAATTTGTACTACAGTGAATCCAAAGTTCGCGGTCACATGACATGTCCGAGAGGGCTTGCAAACTGTTTCTAACATCACTCGAATAGGTGGAAATTCTTCATTATTCTGCATAAAAGAGGCAGATTACTTTGGAAAAATGCGTTAATTGGCGCAGTTTGTGAAAAAAAAATCTTTAGCCAAAAGTTCTTTGAAGGGAAAGTCGAGGTAAATTGCATACGCTTTTGGTGAGAGAACAAATAATATGTCTTTTGGTACACAATGTTATATTTTCTGCTGCAAAGCGTCGAGACTACCGGGCTATCATGAACTTGTTGATGGTCCCCTCACCCATTACAGCGCAGATTTTTTTTCCTAGCCTCACTTGTTCTACTGCGGCGGTGCTGCTTAAAGTATGAAATTATCTGAAGTGGCAAGCTTTGGTTTTAGGCCTTTATAAAAAAAACCCAACGCGACAGACAGAACCCATGTACGCGTCTCCATCAGAAGAACTTTCTATGTGCTAACATACTTGGGCATACAATTAAGTTTCCTGCTTGAAAAAGCTGCATTTATTTTCTAGGTGCCTCATTACTTTCACCCTGATAAACTACTAAATCTGTACTTCTTGTACGACGGCGAGAATGTGCAGATGCACTATTCGCCCAATTGCTGAACGCGCAATATAGTACAGGCTTGATTATCCACCTTCTCCGATAATAAACGCGTTCCCAGTGTGGTAGGCAAAGGAAGTTGTTTTTCTTTCTGAACATCTGAAATATTTTTTGAATAGTTGAGGAAGACCATTATCTCTGGCAATGGCATTTCAACATATCCTACCTTACAAGTTTTTTTAAGGCTATTGTGTTTTTCAGCAATGTGCTTGACCAACACAGTTACTAATCGTTCCATAAAGCGGCACCTAAACTTTTATTATTACATGAAACGAGATCTGAGACAGGCACAAACGACAATTATACTTACTCATGTTTATTTGGTACTTTGAATATGCGAACCTTTTTATCATCCGCTGTTCCGTTTAAAACAAATCTTCGAAGTGGTTTTATCAGCGGCATTGTGAAAACCTGAATTGAAGTTCATTTGGATGGACGAACGTCTAATAAGCGGTGCAGTTACGATAGTTGTACAAATCATAACTATCGACAATTTCTGTGTACAAATTCTCTAAAAGTTCCCAGGTCTTATCAGATCACGTATAAAGTCGATGCACAATCCTTGCAACAAAAAGAAAAAATCATTTTAGAAATGCTCAGACAGATCAATCAATTCACGTAACTCTTTCGTGTCATGTATATCAAAAGAAAAATTTTATGGTATATTCTAAGAATCAATATGAAACAAATTCAAAAATTGATTTCTTTACAAATATCAAAACCCACAACTGCTCTTGAATACATTTCACTACTAATTTTTCTTAATAAAAGGATTAGTTCATAAACATCAACAGCAAAAATAATTTTCGTATCTCAGTAGACGTTTGAGCAAATTTAGCAACCAAAAATTGAAAAATCACATTGGACATTTCTCTTAATCAGCTTGCATCGTTGCAATATGTCCTCAAGGAATTTTAACTCAATCACATTTTGAAAGCGCAAGATTTTCTCTTCCTATTATCGAATAATCAGAAGCTCTCTCGGAGTCTTTGAATTTTGAAGGTAAAAAAAGCAACACGATTTCAAGAATTTTGGTGCAAAAAATCATACATTAACCTAATACTTGCATAGTGATAAATTGTTCTAGAAGATCGGTTGCGCAGTTTTACAGAATGAATTCTATAAAAGGCAGACCAACCATTCTCAATGGCGCTTCTATTACTCCATCGCAGAAGTTTTGAAATCCTTCTCTGAAGTATTTTGCCCAAAAGACGATAGGTATATCATAGCAAGCTCCACAGTAGACTGGAAACGGCTGGAAAATGTCAATCATGACCGCTTGACTTCCAAAATTACATCTCACCATAAGGAGGAAGTAGAACACCATTTTCATTTTCGATGGAGTTGAAGCTGACGTAGTCTCGTAAACTTTTATAGTGTATACTTTTACCAACATTCCCGAATGTGAATCAGAAAGTGCTGGCATTGGTGAATTGTTCACAGGCACATGGAATCCAAACCAGAATGTACGTCATACGCGGACGTGACCATTTGTATATATTAGGTCGGTGCAAAAGCTCTGTCAATATTTTAGAATCATCGACAAATAAGGTAAAGTTTACCGCACGACATCGCCCGAAACGCAGTAAGCTGAACGCCCGCGAACGTAAAGGCTACTGCATGACGAAGGCGCAGAAGTATTGGTAGCGGGGGGGAGGGGGAGGGAACGCGACGCGCGCGTATCTTCACCGTTGTAAATCCTGCGCCTAATGCGCTCTGCGACTAATAAAGCCGCGTTCGCGGGCGAAGATATTGCGCCTTGGTCATGCAGCAGCCTTTATCTCTTGCGGGTTGACATTGGCATTCGCGCGCGCGAGCCATCACAGCGACAGTACTTGGCAGGCTCGGGTAAGAAGCCACACTGCGCACGGCGCAGTTTTGCCACGTAGGCACGCTACGTACGCTCAAATTTTGTCCCCTTGAAAATTCTCCGGTGCTAAGGTGGCACGGCGTCAGTCTGGGGGGGGGGGGGGAGGGTGGAGGGTGGCGAATACATGACTTGATGCCACAAATATTTTGACAAGAGTTCTTATGTGAGTTGACTCACTAATTCTTGATGTCGTGTTGGCATCGCTTCGTGAAAAGTTTGCGCAAATCGTGCTCCTGCTCCGTACCATACTCGGCGACCGCGTTGCAGGCACGCTCACATGCGTTTAGCCTACCGCGGTATGCGCGATTTCGTGCAGTCGACTATAAAGTAAACATAAACGAACATTTCAAGCTGCATTTTATGCTAAATTTCTTTTTCTTTTCAGCTGCCATTTCATCAATGCGATTCTTCGAGAGATTGCTGAGATAATCGCTAAAATTTACAACCCTTCGTTTTCATCGTGTTCGGAACAGGGAGATTTTGATACTTGGTCGTTAACATTTCTAATTTCACAGAGTAAATGAGACTCCAAAATGTGAAGATTTTGAAACTTAGGGTACGTCAGTGAGCACTCGTAAAATCATAACTGCATTTTTCCCGTTTCTAGCCAAGGACGACTATTCAAAAGGGGAGAACAAGTAACATTGGATGGTACCTGAACGAATCACGATTTCATGTTTTACAGGTTGAAGTAGGCCAAATATAAAATCTGGTTTCTTCAAAAGATTTGTTTTAGGTCTGAAGACAAGCTGAGAGCCAAAGAGCTACAAAGATTCTTCACTTGGCAAAAGGCTTACCCTATTTTCTGGCTTCAAAAGCTTCCTCTAAAGTCTTAAATAAAATGTGTGAAAGTCAACAAAAGTCTGACATAGGCCCGTAGTAAAGCTGCTTCATTCGATCTCAGCTGAATAAAATTTTAGTTGAGGCTTCGACGAGTCAGCTTGCCTTCAGTCGAGCCAGATTGATATTGCGAACCACCCACGATGATAAGATTGAGAGCGTCACGTCCATGCAAGTATACGAGTCAAGACGAGTTTGCCAAACATTCACATCTACGTCACTGGCACTAGCGGCGGGGATGTGGCCGCACTTGTTAGGTCATATTAAGTCTCGTCAGCATCACTGTGGCTCCTCACCGACAGTTAAACTGATGTATGTCGTAAGTTACTCAGGAGTAAGTTACGAGAAGTTTCTCTGCGTATCATCATTGGCACACTATTTACATCAACTGGTAGTTTAACTGAATGTGCATTGACTGAAGTAAGGTAGACTACCTCGTCAGGTAGACGGACGGTCAGCTGAAATCTCATTTTGCATTCCTACAACGTGGAGAGCAGGTGATAGCTGGTGTCTACCTTACTGAATTTTGGATGACGGCCTCAGTTCAGTTCACCTGAACTGAATTAGCTTTACTGCGGGCCATAATGAGAACGAAGGGGTAATCTTCAGGGTTGTAATCTCTCAATGTATCACATTGTAGGCATAGCAGCAAAAAAGAGGAAGAAATTCTACATCGAACAGTTTAAAGTGGTTGTTAATCTTTACTGTACGGGATCTGCGCGTCATCTGAAAAAAAAACTGATAAAACGTTGCCGACCAGATACGTTGTTGCAGCTGAGAATGGTTCATCTTGAGACCGCAGGGCCACCTGAGTCATGAATAATAATTTCAAATGTTTTGGTTTACCCACCATTTCAAACATAATACCTGTTGCGTCTTTCCTTTTTAGTACGAGTTCAGAAATGTGTTTGTCTTCAAGGGCACATGCAGGCTGCTCCAACAAGCATCAATTCAAATTTGCGGTCTGTATGCACGTACATCCCCGCGGGAGGAGATGTGCGTTTGCCCACGAAATGATCCCCGCTGGGGCTCCCCTCCCTCCCCACGCGAATTCTTGTATGCACAAAGACAATATCGGAAAAGGGGTCCTCTGGGAGTAGGGAAAGTGAAAGCCCTTATGCAGAAAGGGGGTCGAGCGGGAAATCACTTCGCTTCCGCTTTTCTTTGGTAATTTTTCTCCGCCCTCATCTTTTGGCAGCTATTCGTCTTCACTTTGTCATCGGCAATTCTTTAGTCGTTGCGTTATGCGTGTCCGTTGTGACTGCGCTCAGCGCACCAAAAATAATATTTCCTGCGCCCATTAGATTCGTGCTGTTTTTATGAAGGCTGCTCACTCTCTCTCATGCTGCCCATTCCAGCGTGAAGGTGTTCAACAATAAAAGTCAAGAGTCTCTGCAATGAATGAGTAGAAGACGTTATACCGCCGAAGGGGCGGGGGGGGGGGGAGGGGGAGGTGGTGCAGTGCACAGGCTAGAATGTCTGCGAATAACAGAAACTGCAAATCGTGCCAACCCTTTATGGAGGCTCTAGCTTTAGCGACATACCCGGTTCCCCAAGGAAATGATCCCAATGGCCATCCCTGCTACGCACGAGGGGAACGCTGAGGAGGGGATCACTCCCTTGGGGATCTCTACCTAGATTTAGGCAAATCTGCTGTTTTCTAGATTGTTAACAGCTTTTGTTAAGATTTACTGATTTTGTTAAGAACAGCTTTTGTTAAGATAGTAAGTTAAAGGCGATATATCGTATAATAAAATAGTCACAGGTCAGATAGCCACAATGTGTTTAATCATGTGCCTATATGGTCAAAACTATTATGTCATGTGAATGCTTCTTGAATGATCAAGAACTCCTGCAAATTGAACTTGGCAGCTATGATTGCTCGGGTTTTTTTTCTCGAGAAGCGAATATAGAAGAGAGAAACAAGATTTCAAGCTACAGGTCGCTGAGAGAGGGACCCGGCTTCTAAAAAAATCTGTCATCAAACTAAACGAAATGGTCGGTAATAACTGATTGAAACCAGAATATTCGCTTCCCTGGCATGATATACACCATCGAACCCCTACTTCGTTGGGGGATGTCGATCTTCTCCCCCGCATTGGAGCTACATTCGTGCATACCGGTAGAGGAAGGAAAGGAATCCCCGCTGGGGTTCGCACGATCGATACCCCTGAAATGAAATACCGAATTTGTGGTAGCGAAAGGCTACCGCAAAGAAATGGCTAGCAAACATTGAAAAAAGCAGAGAAAGTGCAAAACTGCACACTCATGAATTCTTCTATGGGAGAAGTAAGCCGAAACATAACTGCGAGGAAACCATAAGATGAACTGCCAAATAGAGTCACACCACTTTAGAAATCAACATTATTTACGACAGCACGTAATGAGTATATCAGTATATCGCTCTCTACTTCTTTTCCCTATTACTGGTTCTAAGGCTTTTGCCTTAAAACCAGTAATAGGGGAAAGAAGTAGAGAGCGACGGAGAGAGATACAATGGGAAAGGTGAAAGAAAAGGAGAAAAACGAGAAGATGGAGAAAAGGAACAAAGGCATTCGAAATGCTATTCTTGTACATTTCATTCCAAAAGCCATCTTAGTACACAAAAATTGGCTGAAAATAGCTTTTTTGGTGAGGTCTTCTGGCAGCCGTGAGCTAGATGCGAGTACCACTAATGACCCTATCCCCGCTGAGGTGCAGGGGAGAGGATCGCTTCCCTCCCATTGGCATAGCGGGGTTCAATGAAGGGATCGTTTTCCTGGGGATTCAGCTCCCCTCCTCTCCTCAGCGGGGATGTACATGCTACGGGCCTAAGAGGAAGTTGCGCACGCAGCAGAAGGAAGAAACTGGGCTCGGCAGGTGTCCAGGGATAAAGCAAAGATAGTGGAGAGAGAGCAAGCCCCAAAAATATGTTCACTCAATGTAAAGTAAAAATTATTGTTGTAGTATCAGTATTGATATTGGCAGAACTTCTGTGTTCAAAGGGCTCGAAAGAGATTTTCTGATTATGCACTAGTATCTGAAAGGAAAAGTTTAAGGTAGCTTCTAGGTAATGCTATGATGCAATCTGGTAGTACTGCTGAGTCAACGCAGGGAGTGGCCGTAGATTGCGGGGCACGCGTGGCGCGGCCAGATGTCACGAGAGCACGACTTGTACAAAGCAGTTTGTACTGGTACAAGCGTTTGACTGCGGTTGACGACTTAACGATGTGGAAGCAAGGAGCCAACGAATATTATGGAGAAACTACGTCGTTGAAGAATATGGCAAGTTTTTCTTTTGAAGTCCACAACCAAAAAGTCTTTTGCAGTACGCATGATCAAATTTGGTGTGTATGCGCAAACGGTCTGGAAGAATGTGTGAAAAATCACAAAATATGTGATTAAGAAATTCGGCAATCCTTACCCGGAAGCACAGGTGCGATAGTGTGAGAATGTTCTCACCCCCCCCCCCCCCCGTTCACCCCAGAGCCGGGATCAAGGTGACCCCTTCAACAAAAACAGAGAAAAAATCAAGAGCGAGGTAAGTTTAAGCAAAGGAGATATTTGTACGTGAATTGCTTATGTATAGAAAAGGAGGAGTCTGTTGAAAAAAAGTGCTTGGTGACGGGTGTGAGTAGTGAGTTCTGGACATTTTCGAGTTTTTAACATAAAAAAATTCATGACTTTTGTAGATGAACATCTTTTACGGTGAAATGGTCACCATTAGAACCGCGTCA